TTAGAGTTCGATCAATCCCTTTCCCTTCTCCTTGTTTAACTAATCGGTAAAATAGTTGTCATAATATTGTAAGTACAAAAGAATTAACATCATCATTAACAAATTAATTGATTAATGAATATATTTGTACCAAACCAATGACATTAAAATTCTTATCGGAGTACACTTATTCTTAGTTTTAAATCATGCTTAATGGACGATGTCAGAATACTACTTTGAGTTCAACTACATAAACACAACATTAAAAACAAGAGCAAACCCCATGAGCTCTATCCCTTCCTCATAAATTACTTAGAGTTGCAAATTAAATAACAATTAAAAGATGATTTTGGAACATTAATCTTGAAAATTATCACTTTAATTGTTATATGTCTTTGTGTTATTAATGATTTACCTTATTAATATTATTATATGTTAATTTCTATGTGGTACTTAAAATCCTACGATTTTACGATTCGATTTTACGATTCCGATTTTACCCCAGTTTTCGATTTTAGGTAAAATCCCGATTTTGACTGCTTTGGATGGGGAGAAATGTCAAGAAAGCAAGAAGGCTTAAAATTAACTTTGAGGATATAGACGTTGAGAGTGAATGGATTTGTGCTAGTGACAATGAAGAAGAAGATTCACAAGCTGAAGATTTAGGAGTTGGTGGTGGTGAAGAAGGTGATGGTGGTGATGATGATAAGGAGGATTTGGATGTAAACATTGAAGGCGATGATTTAATATAGTTTGCTTTCTATTATCCTTTTTTGTGATTTGATTTCAATTTTCAAGAACTTGATTATTAAACTCGTATATCATTATATAACTTAAACTAGCTTGTCAGAATTTGGATTCTTAAGCTCGTTTGTGGGTTACTTAAGATATATGTTTATGAGTTATATTTAAATTGTTTTGACTTATGAGTTTATTCTACTTCAGAAACTACACAAATTAGTTTATCCATGTCGTCTTGACAGAGTTTTAACTATTTTACAGTATGCATAAAAAACTTATTCTTTTACACTTTAATTCTGCACGTTACGATTTTAACCATTCACCACTTTTAGGTAGAATTGACTTTTGACTGCATTACTTGTAGAAATTCAAAAAGTGTTAAACATGTTCACTGTGAAGCACTGCAAGAATAAGTTAACTCCCTAAAAGTCACATTGATATGCACCCTAAAACAAAAATTGTGCACTTGTAGATAGGGATGACAATCAAACCCATGGTCGCGAGTATTCGCCCGCCCCTAACCCAGTCAACGCGGGGGATCCCCGCTTTGACCGGGTATGGGTAAAACCCGCAAAACGTTTGATGGGTATATAGCGGGTATGGTTTTAGCATCCCCATACCCATACCCGCCCCATTAGGATAATTTCTTCAAATATAAAAAATACATTGATTAAATTATAACCTATCTATAATAGTGAGGGTAACTTAAGAAAATATTTTGTAGAAATGTAATTGGATGGATACCCAAATCAAAATTCAATTCTTTTTCCTCAACTCTCCCTTCACTCTTTCATTGTTTCGATTGTTAACAAGATTATGTTAGTTAGTTATTACTTAGTAGATGTATTAGAGTAAGAGTATAATGATTTGGATTACATTGTATTCTATCTTATGGATTAACGAATGATTTAGGATAAGATGATTTGAACCGTGTTAAGAATGATTGTCTATTTGTCGACTTCATGATATAATATGTGCGTTTAGTGTTATAATTGAAAATTTATATATTAAATATTAGGTGTTATCATGTTGAATGTACGGGGCGGGTATTACACATGTTTACCCGAAACCCACGGGTATGGGGATGAGTTTGGGAAACCCTCCCCCGCATGTATAGGTGTCAATCGGGCGGGTTCCGGTCGGGTTCAATCGGGTTATGGGTTAGTCGGGTTTCGGGTTAATCAATTCGGGTTCAATCAGGTTCGGGTGCAATCGGGTTGCGGGTTAGTCGGGTTCGGGTTCAATCGGGTTGCGGGCAAAACGTTTTGCGGGTTCATCGGGTTTCGGATCGGGCGGGTTGCGGGCGGATCAGATTACAGGTTGTTCAGGACAACGCATCAAGTTACTTACTCCTTGCTTGCTACCAACTTACACATTTTATTACACTAATTTATAATATTTTAACAATTTTTAACCAACATATTTCTACCTCATATATATACTCAATTAAAAAAAAATCTAGTCAAAATGTTGAATATGATTTGCAAACTTGTCATTTAATTAATCATAATTGGTAAAGTGCACTAGATAATAGTAATGGCGATATCAACATTTGCAACCAATAGACACTATTAGCAAACAAAACACCACTCTAAAAACAAAGAAGAAAAACACTTTTTTCTTATCTCAACATTTTTGGCCTGCAATATAGATTAATTCAAACAAAAATTGGGTGGTAATATAGATCAATCCAAATGAAAATTGGGCGGTCTTTTGGAGCGGGAATGAAGAAGTTGGGCGGCAATATATATCACGCAAAAAGAAAATTGAGCGGCAATGCAACAGGAAGCAAAATTGAGTAACAAAAAAGACATGAATAATATATATAATAAATTACAAGTTTAGTTCTTAGTGAAGTATAAATTTTTTGTTTAACAAAAAAATATATGAATCAAGGTTCATGGAAATTTTTTGCAAGTCGTTGTTAATCAATAATCCTAATTTATATCCTTATGCAAAATCTAGACAAGACACTCATATTATAAAGAACAGTTTATGAGAGATGGAAATTGGGCTTAATATTAAAGGAATTGAAACGTTGGTGGGTCGACTAGGGGGGATTTTCACTAATTAGATTTTCATTTTGGTAGTGACAAATTGTAGAGAAAAAACAACGAAAAGTGGGGAGGGAACAATTGGCGAAGGGGAAAATTGGGATGAAGATATCAAAATGAGAGGAGGAGTTTCCCACCAAGATGAAAATGAGGTGGGAGAATTAGTGAGTAAGATGTAGTTTCCCACCTAAATGTAAAATCATATGCATTTGAGATAGAATAACTCTTTACATGTTCTCAAATCTACTATATCAAATTAGTCATGCCTAAAAGCTATAGTAAGGTTTGTTATAGAGTATAGACAATATTTTACTCACTAAATGTTACACTCCTAAATCATCATATGTAAACATTGTGATAATTAAATTGATAATTAATTAAGCTTGTAAACCATCACATATAAACATTGTGATAAACTTTCTCTCTTCTTTTTCTTAAAATAATGAAAATACAAAAAATTTCCCAAATTTGTCTTTTCATAAATAAAAAACATCAAAATTTCCCACCATTTTCTCTTCCTATAAATCAAAATGACCAAAACTTGAAGCACCAAATTTCCCACTTTTCTTTGTCCTAAAATTTGAAAAAACCAATTTTTCCCACTTCTTTCTCTTCCTATAAACCAAAACACCAAAACTCTCTCTTCTTTCTTTTCCCATAAAATTTAAAAACCAAATTTACTTCTTCTTTTTTCCCTAAAAAGTTGAAAACACCAAAATTTCTCTCTTTTTTCTCTTCCTATAAACCAAAGCATCAAAACTCCCCCTTATTCCTTTCTCTTCTTTCTTTTATTAAAAATACATAATTTCAACTCAATATCATTTTTTGAACTTCCCTTTATAAAATGAAAAAATAGTTTTACTTAGTCTTACAACCAAGGTTGTCAATCCGCGGGTTGGTCCAGACCCAGTCGAGCTAGTGGGTCAAGGATTAATGGGTCACCCGTTTTAGCCCGGAAATATGGAAAGAGTTATTATGTTATACTTATCCTGATAAATTATATCAAATCTCATCTAACATATTAGTTATAACACATAATATTCTACCAAAATAACATGTCATACTTAGATCCAACATATAGTGAAAATTCACACACTTATATAACATATATATTCAAATGTTCAACTTAGAATTCCAAAGATTGAGTTAGGCGAAAAGAAAAATCGGAAAATAGGTGCATTTAGCAAACCAAAGAAAAAAATGACATAATTTGACCTCCAACCCAGTAGCTTGTAGCGGTCGACCCGTCGGGTGCGTGCGGCCCGTTTTTCTCACCGTGTTAGGCTCAAAGTGGGTCGACCCGCGGGTTGACAACCTTGCTTACAACAAACAAATTTCATTTTTATAATTTTCTATAATATATAATATGGTTGTTAGTGAAGGAGGGGACGAGATTCTCAAAATTAAGGTTGAGACTTGAGTCTCGTTGGGGAGTTGGGAGAATGGTCGAGTGGGATACTAACATGTATTGGGAAGTCGGCTAGATCCACGGTTTGGTCCGATAAACCGCGGTCTAGAGCAGACCAAACCAAGAGTTCAAAACTTCATATAATACAGACCATGGACCATACCATACCATTATTCACGGTCTATGGTCCAGACCAAACTGTGCGGTCTGATTTGGTCCACGGTTTTTCAAACGGTCTTATCTATTTTTCCAGCCCTAAACCCGTCTAAACCCAGCCACATTGCCATCCCTAGTTGTAGATCCAAAAGCAAAAATTGATCTCTCTTTTTACCCGTTCTACCGGTTGTCAGTTTCGATAATGGCTGATATTTTCTCTTTGGAACTAAGAGCAACTAATAGAAGGAGCATTGATAGTAACAACTAGCAAACATCGTAGTTGAGCTCATTGCAGAAAACATAACTTTTCGTGGTATGATATTCCATTGAATTCAGTCACATTTTCTCTTTTCCTCTCTACTTCTCCATTGAGTATGAGAATCCTCCGACATGGTAAGAGAGCCTAGTTATAGCAAAGCCTTATCGAGCTGGAAAATGGGGCAAATTCATGGTAGCAACTAGCAAGTCCCGAAGAAGATCTAGTGTACATACAGTACACATCCGCCGTTTTGGTTTAAAAGCTTATGCCAAGCTAGTACTAGAGATACCACGGACAAGATTCTTCCCTCGCCGCCGGAACTTCCACAAGGAACAAGGAAAAGACGATTACAAATCGCATACTTCCTTTCAGCATCTGTTTTCAGATGCCTGCATCTTTAAGTGAACAAAACAGGGACTTATTTGTCTGTGCAAGTCTGTGAAAACTAAACAAACAATGTGGACAAACAGGTCTGTGGAACACTAACACCAGTTACTCTGACGGAATAGCTTGATCACATAGGTCATGCACACTGGGAAAGCTTCTATTGATATCTACTGTCTACTAAGTAATAACCATGTAGGCCTTTCCATCAACAACTTACTGATTAATACCATAAAATCTTAACGACAGTACTTACTTGTAGACAAATGGAATGAGTTCAAAAGTAAACAGATCTCACCCAAGTCACAAAGATGATTTATGAATCAGATTCTTCTTCACAACCACTACACCATTGCTGCATAAGGCCGTCTGGGAAACAACAGCTCACTCACCAAACCCTAAACTGCAAAACTGCAACACGCCATCTTCTTTGAAAGCTTTCCAACAACACCAACGATCGATTTAACAACTCTTAACCCGAAGATCCATCTTCACTCAAGGTTTCAGAAGGCGGCGGCTTCCCGGAGGCACCATTAACAAGCAATTTCTGAATCCTAAAGCTCTCCTCTTCACCAACTTCTAAATCCCCAAACAACTGCTTCCTGTAAACCTGATGCAATTTCCCAAACAACTCCTTCTTAATGGCTTCAAAAGCCATGTCCAGCCTCTCCAACTGCTCCATGGCATTCTGATTACACAGGAACAAGCCATAAAACAACTCGAAGCTATCACCGGACGTGTTCTCCACCAAATTCAGCAACGTCTCGTACCCTTTGGTGTTGATCGGAGACGACTCCAGCCCAAACTTCTCCAACACCCTCCCCATGGCATGGGTCACGAACTGTGATCCCGCAGCATAGCGATCGTGCTCAGCACAACTCATCTCCACCATCCTGCACCCTTCTCTACTAAAAATGTCCAAGAACTTGTCGCACCGACTGATCCTATCCTCGTTGTTCCCAATTCGCACCTTATCATACACAAACGGCAACCCTGCCCAAGAATGCTTCCCACTCTCGGGTCCAAACATTGGATGCGTACACAATACATCGAACTCCACGGGCAAATACTTCAACATAATGGTCTTGGCGAATTCTTTCACGGATAGCACATCGACAAAAAGAGTATTGCGTTTCAGTCTCTGAAAGGGGAAGGACTGGAGTACCTTCTCGGAGGAGAGGATGGATGTGCAGAGCAGTACCACTTCCGGGTGGCTCTCGCAGAGATCGTGCGGGTTGGAGTAGAACTGGACGCCGAGGGAGGCGGCGGCGTCGGAGTAGTCGGTGCGGGAGTGGGCGATGACGGTGTGGCCCTGGCGGGTTAGTGTTTTGGCGAGGAACTGGCCGTAATTGCCGAATCCGAGGATGGCGACCTTGAGCGATTGGGACTTGAGGTGCTCGGAGCGGAGCTGGGACTCGTAGTCGAACGGCTGCGCGGCGTCGAGGCAGCGGATACGGAAAGAGACGGCGGCGGCGGTGGAGGTGGAGAGGGAGAGAGGCGACGGAGGTGGGAGAGGGAGAGATATGGAGCGAGAGGAAGGAGGGACGAAGTTGTGGGAAGAATTGGATGACATGAAAGTAGAAGAGTGTTTGGAGGTCGTCGAAGCGAAAGAAAATGCCGCCGCCATTGTGCCAGAGAGAGACTCGGCAGCAAATCAATTGCAGTCGGAAGGCTCAGCAGTCACCACCACCTGTTTCTCTTCGACCTAACTTAGTTAATTTGTAGAAGAAATACAAGAAGCAACTAGCATATGGAAAAGGCAAAATGGGCCATGGAATTAATACGATCAGTTACAACTTACAAAGGCCCAACTGCAGCCATTTAAGTTTTTAGATCAAACCCAAGCCCAACCGATCATGGACCAGGAAACCGGATCATACCGGCCGGTTCAACCGGGAATCGGACTAGAAACGATACGGTAGCCTGTTGGTGGTCAGAATACCGTCGGGACGATTTTTCTGACTTAACCGGCACAAAAAGAAATATCGTCCGGTTTTGATCTAACCAGCGGCAGACTGTTTTAACTTTTAAGAAAAACATCGTCGTTTTGTCACTTTAATTAAAAAAAAAAACACTCGGCCAAAGGCCAAAAACTAGAAAACCCTAATCTCTAACAAAAACCAGCCAAATGAATTCGAGCTTTTGTCCTTTCAACGTTTCTCTCTTCCCAGCCAGCCGCGCCGCGCCACTCCTCCACTTCTCCTCTGGCGACTGGCAGCCGGCGACCAGCGAAAGCAACCCTCAACCCTACTTCGCCTTCCAGATCTCCGCTCCGCTCCGTCGCTCCTCTTCTCTCCTCATCAGCCTCGTCGCCTGCTTGAAAGTCGATTCTCCCTCCCTTGCTCAAGAAGACAAAAACGCGACCTCCCCAACAATTCGGGTTGGAACAAAGCTGACCTGTTGTTGAGGACAATCCCAATCGTTCTTGCTTTTGTCGCCTCCCGTTCAAAAGAAATCAGTTCCAATCGGGGATATGACTGAGCAGTTATTTGGGACAGGTATTGACGGCGTCGAAGAACGGTGAGCTGACGTAATCCCACCGCAATCGCTAGCTGCCGCCGGCGAGGAAGACATGGGTTGCAATTCCGTTCGTCGATAGCATCAGCTGGTGTTGCCGACAATGCTTCATTCTACTCTAGTGGTGGAGCTCGATGCCACTACTGTTAGGAGGCCAGCAAAAAAACCCGAGGCCCAATTACAAAGCTCAATTAGAAAGACCTGCATGCGATATAACTTTTCCTATGTGTTTGCCAAAACGTTGCGCCCCATTTAGTACTGGCTTGTGAATTTACTTTAAGGCCCTTCCGTGAATGAAGCTGGAGCCTGGAATTCAAAATGATGAAAATATTACCCATGAATCTGTATTAAATATAGTATAGATAGATTTAGGCTTGTTATCTGGTATATTCCGGTATCATGAATCTGCCGGTACGTTTTTTTAACAAAACAATATTTTTTAATTACAAAAGCGGTATTTTACCGGTATACAACGGTTGAATCACGGTCGTATCACAAAATATCCTTCCACCAACGAAGCCGGTATGACTTCCTGTACGGTTTCCTTTACCATGAGAAACGGAGAAAGAACTCTTCTTTTTTATATTACAGAGAAAGAACTCCATTTAAGTTTGTTGCTTGGAGAAAGAACTCCAAACACCAAAAAATGGGTAAACCACAAGGTTGATCACTGAAATTATTAAAAATGTTTATTTAGTCACTAAAAGTAAAAATATCTTAATTTCATTCGTGGTCACTAGAATTAGTTAAATATTTTAAATTTGGTCTCTCTATGTCCATTTTCGTTAACTTTTGCTTACCGGGCATTAGTTAATCATTAAATGTGTGATGCGATTATTAAAAAATAATTTAAAATATGAAAAATATATTCTTTAATAATTTCCAACTAATTTTAGAAATAAATTAAAATAAGAAACAATTACCAAAATTGAAATTAAAGTAAATCAACCCTTCCCTCACTGCACCCCTTTCACCCCCAAAGAGGAAATCAACTCTCCCCATCGATGAAAGGTCAAGAGCTGGAAGAAGTAAGTTGTTTGATTGATGTTCTTCTGCAATTGTTGTCAGGTATCGCCGACGTTAAGAAAGAAGCCACCAGCCCGGAGAGGGATTCATCGAGGAGGAGAAGATTGGCACGATTACGGCAAGAATCGCGCGTGTGGACAACGATAAAATAAGGGAATTGGATTTTTTTAACAATAATTACAAGAGAAGAGCCTGAACAAAGATATCATCGGGAGTTTTAAAAAAATAAACCCTAAGTCAACCATACAAAGTCCTCCCCCCGATAAATTACCGCCAGCTACTCTGACATTGCATAAAATAGACGACGGGATCGAACATCTTAACTTATTATCCTCCACGCTTAGCTGCTTAAGCAACGAGCAGTTGGCAATGGCTGACGAAAGAGTGTCTTATAACCGATTCGAGTCCAGCCACTGTAGCTTCTCAGAACTCGCTGGCATCTCGGGGAAGTCATTAAATGACAGATTCACCAGTTGCAGCTCCAAACCGACTGCAAAATTGGACGAAATCTCCCCTAACAATGTGGAGGTCTCGCTTTTTCTTTCCGATTTTAATGATTCCCTTCCATCCTTATTTTGTTTCTTCTTGGCTGTTTCAGCCTCCTCGAGCACCCTTTCTTCTTTGTTTCTTTGGCCTCCCTCTATTTTTCGATTCTTGAGGAGGAGAAACACCACATTCTCCCAACTTAGGAATTGGCCAATAACCCCTACCAGTAGTAGGCGAAATGGAGTACCTATAAATAGTTGATGTTGTTTCATAGGTTTAGCAACCAACAACATAATTTTGCACCTAATGGAGTAGCAACCAAAATGATAACCAAGTGTTGTCCTTATATCTAATCAAGTCCAACTATGAAATGGTACAACCCAAAACTGCTCTCTACCATAAAAACAAAAGTGAAAATTCATAAAAGCAACTTGTATAAAAAGAAAGAAGGTCAAACAACTCTTGCTGGTCTTGGTCATCCCCACACAAATCTGCATTATCTAATCCAATACGACAACCAAGTGTTGTCCTTATCGAACTTTCTGATACAAGTATACAACCACTACCATAAAGACAAGAGCGGTAACAAAAGGAAACTCACGGAAATGAGGTTGAACCACATATTGGTGCCCCCACATGCCCCACCATGGTTCTCTCGTGGAATGGTGAGCTGGGAAACAGACAAGAGCTTGCAATTTTTAGTATAAAAAAAGCTAAAAGACAGCCTCAAAAGCACACATGCAACCTCTTCACTTTTATCTGCCCCTCCGCTTTTCCAGACTCTTCAGACTCAATGTATCTATGTCGGGCCCACAAATTCAAAAAACAAAAGAAAAATTTACCCAAATCCCTCCTCTCTAATCTTTCTCCACACGGTCGCACGAAGGCTTGGTTGGTTCGACAGCAACGAAGTGGTAAGGGTTGTTTTGGCGGCGGCACGACAGTCGCTGAAGAAAGAAAAGTAAGACGACTGAGGTAGGCGTCTTCTCCTTCCTTTATTCATGGATATGAATATTCGTTTGCATAGATTCGATTTAGGGTTTCCTAGATTCGACTGGATCTGAGTTCTTTGTTTGCTTCATTTTTTGGATGGGTTTTATGGATTTGATTTAATGTTTCACGGATTTTTCTTAGTTCTTTGCGGCCAGGATACCAGTTGTGAATTGCCTGGATATTTATTTGGGGGTCGTTTGGTAGTTGTGATTGTTAGAGTTGTGTTTATACAATACATACATTGTTCACAATACAATGTTTGGAAGTGTCAAAGTGTAAAACAAAGCATGTATTCTTTTAGGTAGGTCTCACCAACAATCACAAAAAATGATCCATTATACAATCTCAACTAAAAATTGAGATTGTTGATTTTAGATTTGTGCCCACTTTTTCTTTCCATCTATATCCCTATTAGTTTTTTTCTTATACTAAAAGTTGAGGATAAATGTGACTTTTTCACATAAAGTAACTTTATGTTAGTCAATACATAAAGTAGAATCTCATCAACCAAATAATGTATTATTAAATACATCAATTGTACCAAATACCAAGACATGTATTTATTTTGTTGTGATTCATTACAATGCAACGATTTAACATTCACAACTTCCAAATGACCCCTTGATTTATTTGGATATGACATCATTGATATTGGTTATGTTCGTTAGGAATATCAGTTGTATGGTTGACTGGATATTTGTTTGATGTATCTGTATATGACTTCATTGATATTAGTTATGTTCGATAGGGATATGCCAGGGAAAATGATTGTGGTTAAACCGATAACCGCACCGAAACCGCGTAGTTATTGGTTAACCACAAACCGCAAAAACAACCTATTTTGCGGTCGTGGTTGGAGATATTGGCTGTTTTGTGGTTTGCGGTTTAACCGCAACCGAAACCGCACATAGCTCTAACCGCAATGCTAATCACAAAAAAAATTCCCAATCAATTTCCAGTCCAACCAAAAGTCACAAACCCCAACCCCACCCCAACCCAACCCGACCCGGCCCCTTCCCCACTTCCCCCTTTGGCTTTGAGAAAGGCGAATCGCAATTGCCAATTCCATTTCCCAGTTCCCAGTCCCACTCTGAAACTAAATGACTGAAAGTGAAAACCCTAAGTCCCTAACCCAGCTACCCCTCCCGCCGTCAACGACCACAAATCCCCCCGCTGCCGTCACTAGCATTGTGACCGTGTTGCTGTCGGTTGTCGCCCCGGTTCCTCAAGGCGGTGTTGCGGCACCGGTGCGACATTTGCGTCTGCTTCTGCTCGACTGCTCTTCTCATCACCTCTCTGCTCGTCGACCTGCTTTGTTTGATGACTCAGGCTGCACTCTCTGCTCATCGCTATCCACACCCTACTCGTCGGCCTTAGATCTCCACTTCCAGTCTCCACATCTGCTCTGCTACCCCACTGTTGTCTCGTTTTTTGCTTAACCACGATTTGGTACGCAGATGCGGTTGATTCGGTTTTTTACCTCCAGTAACCACGGTGCACTGTTAAACGCATTTTGGGGTTATTGGTTCCCGCTAACCGTGCAGGACACGGTTGCGGTTGGTAATATGGGTAGTTTGCGGTTCTAGTTAACTGCAAATTGCGGTGTAGTTAACCGCAACCGCACCGTTTCCCACCCCTAGATAGGGATATCAGTATTATGGTTGACTGAATATTTGTTTGATGTATTTGGATATGAGATATGACTTCATTTATATTTGTTATGTTGGGTAGGGATATCAATTGTATCATTTGTATGGTTGATTGGATATTTGTTCGATGTATCTGGATATTTGTATATGCAGGGATTTATCACAATGGCAAGAACTAAAACAACTGCAAAGAGACCACAAACTGGAGACGGAGTATCCAAGCTTCATCGTGCCAAACCGCCACCGCCATAGCCATAGGAAAATGAGGACCAAGAAGATGAGGAAGAAGTTGCTGAAGGAGGACACCAGTCAAGGTATAGATTTCACTGTTGCATCTATAAGCTGTTGTCGATTATAAAATACTCCAAGGAAGATGTATGGTACTATGAAGCTTGCAAGAAAGAGGTTGAGAAGGCCGGATTTGGAGGCCTATTAGAGATTCGACTTGCCAATGTTCCTAAGAAGATGTTTGATTCCTTGATGGAACATTACGACCTGCGCACCGATAGCTTCATTCTTTGTGAAGGGGAGAAGGTGCTCACCATCGAAGATGAGGATGTTGCCGCTTGCCCGTGTATACGACCTTCCTATTGGTGGTGCTAAGATTGACCTCCTAAGATCTAACGACAAGATGCTCGAGATTCTCAAGGAGGAGCTTGCATGGAGGGTAATCGTAGCCGAAATTTTTTAGTTGTCAATGACTAAGGCGGCCTGTAGTGGTCAAGAGAAGAGGAGACCACTTGTGGCGATTGCAGTGAAGCAGTTCCTGTTGGTGGCTCTTGGTTCGTTGTTCGTTCCAACTAGCTCACACATATGTAAGTTGGATTATGTAGAGTACCTGGTTGGGAGGGTGGAGGGCATTCAAACTTTTAATTGGAGTGCTCATGTTGTCTGTGAGATGAAGGTAGAGATGGCTAATACTAAGAGAAGAGAACAAACAGCTAGGACGAAGGGAAAAAAGATGTAATGGCTTCTCGGAGATGTCCATTTCTTGATGGTAAGTTATAATTTAACGTTTTCTGTATATTGTTCATTTTATGCATGATATTAGTTAGCATGTTTGGGATAGTAATTAGCATGCCTGGGATAGTAGTTCTCTTCATACCATATATCAGTTTAGAATGTTTGTGATATTAATAACCATATTTGGGATAGTAATTTGCATGCCTAGGGATATTAGTTCTTGTCATAACGGATATCAGTTTAGAGTGCTTGTGATGTTAATAACCATGGACTGGGATAGTAATTAGCATGCTTGTGATGTTAGTTTTTTTCATAACGGATTTCAGTTTAGAATTCCTGTGATATTAATATCCATGCCTAGGATACTAATTAGCATGCATAGTAATTCTTTTCATTCCGGATATCAGTTCGTCTCATGCGTGATATTAGTTAGCATTCTGGGGATAGTAATTGTCGCAAACAGTCCGTCCGCGACGCGGCGCGAAAAAGAGGAGTCGCCACCAATCTCTCAAAGTGGATTGGATACTTGGGAAGCCAAGCTTAAATCGGTAAAGATTTAAACTCGGCCCGGTCTGCGAAATAGATTTTTTTGGGTTCGGGGGTCGGTTACGAGTAAGGAAGGTATTAGCACCCTTACATCGCCCTAAGTCGGTACTATAAGTTTGATTTGTCTTTTTATTTGGTATTTGTTTGTTTGAAATTATTTGGATTTACTTTGTATATGTGATTTCATTTTTGAAATATATTACATGTTCATTGACATGTAATTATGTTTGAAGAATGAATTAATATTTTTGGTGATTTTCAGGAGAAAAGGTTTTTATTTATTAGTAGACTTGGACCCGTAGGCCGGCTACGTACCCGACATCGGATCAAAGCCCCGTAGTTCACCTGGCGTTTACTTGTTTTAAAACATTTGCTTACGTTCCCATCGGTACGTAATAGTTGCTGATTTGAACACGATCCTTCGATCGTAATTTGTTTGAGATAGATTAAATGAGTATTGATCACGTACCCATCGGTACATAATAGTTGTTGATTTGAACATGATCCATCGATCATAATTTGTTTGAGATAGATTAAATGAGTATTGATCACGTACCCATCGGTACATAATAGTTTATTGATTTGAACACGATCTATCGATCGTAATTTGTGTAAAATAGGTTAGGTGATAAATTGTTCATGTACCCATCGGTAATGATTTTATCATATAATTTGATAAAATGATATTTTAGGAGTTGTATGGACTTGAACCTTTTAGGTCGCCTACGTACCCGACATCTCGGGATCAAAGTCCGCGTAGTTCAATCGACATTAATATTGATGAATTGAAATGAGATATAATATGGTTAAATAATTTAAGGAACGAATTAAAGTTGAATGCATATGATTATTGTGTAATGGTTGAGCCCTCCTTTTTGTGTATGATAAGAAAAGGGTAACAAGCCTTAATTTGGTTAGACGGTATGTAATAAACACTGATCAAACTCGAATTAAAGTCGAATGCATATGAGAAATTCATGTATTTTAATTTTTGTATTGAAATTTGAACTATTCGTTGAAAAATTCATTCAAAACGAAATTATTTAGTTTAGAAAAATCCGGACAAAAATGGGTGCCAACAGTAATTAGAATGCCTATGATAGTAAATCTTTTCATTCTGGATATCAGTTCATTAAAGTGTGATATTAATAACCTAGCATGGGATACTACTGATTAAAGATGTGGATATTAGTTATATTTGAAAATTACTTCATTCATTGACACACGTAAATTAAACGTTTTTTGTAGCTTCAATTGCTAGACTTCCTTAGCGTGAGAGGATTGGCCACAAACACCATCCCGACATGCAGCTATTGGTTTGAACCAAGGGTGGATAAGGTATGTTTGGATGTCCCCAGGGATGACAAATATAATCTAGGTCCCATGTTGCTATCGAGGGAAGAAGTCAGATCTTGCCTCCATCCAGGACGTGTCAAGAGGGAGTTGGAATCAGGAACAACCAGCTCAGCTCCTCCGGAGTTCTACACAGCAGATTGGTGGGAGGAAATAAACCTGGAAACCCTTGAGACCAACGAGGTATGTAGATTTTGTCTTTGCAACTTAAAATCGTGGGTTAGTAGACATGAGTGCATGTAGTGAACTAATTTTTTTACAACTATGTGTAGCTTAAGGCATTGCAGTCATGACTGAAAAAGTCATGGATAAGTGGGATTCAAGGAGGGAAAGTGTCCAAAGGGTCGCCATTAAGCACCAGGAAGACAACAATTGAACTTAGCAATTTTTATGTTTAAGTGGTTGTAATGTTTATGTTTAGGATGTTATAATTGCTATGTTGGAATGGCTTTGAAAACTAGTTGTATCGAACAAAAGTTTGTTTATTGTGGATTTCAGTTATTGGTGTGTAATAGTTGGTTCTGGATATTATTTATAAATTGCTTGAATAACAGTTGCTTTTATAATGGATAATAGTTCATCTTTGATGTCTGGATACTAGTTCTTTTCATGATGGATTGCAAATAACAATCATGAGATACGAGTTGGATAAGTATGGATATTAGAATGAAAGCAATGGATAATAGTTCCTTCATTGTTAGTTACTACTCTAAGCTGTCTGGATAGTATTTCCTTCCTTAGTAGATAATACTCAGGGCTTTCTTGATAATAGTTGCTTCATGAGTAGATACTACTTTGGTATGTCTGGATAATATTTCCTTATTGAGTAGATACTACTCTAGGCAGTACGGATAACAGTAGCTTCGTCATTCGATACTACTCTGGGAAGTCTGGATAATAAATTTTATATGCTTGCATGTGTTTTTCAGCTTGACTTTTTGGGTGCCGAGCTTGACCGGAATGTGGGCAGATTAGCGGACTTGTCTTCGTCTTCGGTAGTAGTGGCCAAAGCAAGGATGGAAAAGGAGAGAGATGCGTTAGTTGTCGTAGAGGAGGAAACTAGTCAAGGTACTGAGAGGCAAGAACATGTCCAGTCGCTTGTACTATAAAAAAACACGTAAGTAGACAACACTGCCAACAATTGAAAATCCAATAGATGAGTCGGCGGAAATGGCAGAGCCAGTCATTGAGTGACTGTTCTCGAGGTAATGGAGATTGTTCTTGATCCCGTTGTTGACGAGATGGTGGAACCATTCGTTGAGTCGACTGTTGATGAGGTGGTGGAGCCAATCGTTGAGTCAACTATTGATGAGGTGGTGGAGCTATTCATTGAGCCAGTTTTTGAGGAGATGGTGGAGCCAGTTGTTGAGTTGATGGTCATACATTATGCTGATCCGGATACGACCTTTGAGGATGTTTTGCAGATAGCTATCCAGGCCACTACTGCTGCTCAAGTGGTATCGCGACATCTCCTACTATGGTGGTCACTCCTTCTACAAAGTTTATGACGCAGAGAGATGCAGAACCATATGAGGAGGTGCTGATAGCAACATCTTGGGAGAGGGCTTAGAAGAGTGACGATGAGATTATAACCCAAGTTTGGGAGAGGACTGCGAAGGAGGCAGAGAAGCTATACTCCCTCACATCTTCAGATTGGATAGAAACCCTAAACACTCCAAAGTTCCAGAGGTAAAAAAGCACCCACTAGTTGAGTCAGTGTACAATTTGTCGAAGATTGTGTCGACGAAACTTGACAATACGACTCATCGCGTGGTTGAGTTCATCTTCAGTTCCACTAATGAAAATGGGTAAGTGTCACATTATATCATGGTGTGGTCAATTTCAATCCATCCAACACACATTTGTAACCCGGTTTTCATTTATGTTTTATAGTAGCAACTATGTCACGGAGGCTCCAAACTCTAGGCTTGCCCGTTTCCACTTCCTTACATTGAAGCGCACAACTTGGGTGCATAGCCAAATAGTTGAAGCATACGAGCAATACCTAAACATCAACAAAGTACAACATGGGATGGTGAAGAGAATTGTCTTCCCATGGAGGTGTGCTCTTCACTACTTAGATCTCATTTATATTGAAAATGTCTAATTTGATATTGTTGTCCCTTCTACATAGCAACATGTTGTGGATGATGCTATAAAAAAATGGCCCATGGAGAACTCAGTGCAATAGTTGCTTTGGCCAAAAGGAATCCACTCTGAAATGTGCAAACTTGGAAACATGTGATTATGTAGGTGAATGTCGGGATACTTGTCTGTGATGCACGGATGTTAATTTGGTTATCTATGAATTAGAATTACTATGCTTTCCTCCTTGGCAGCCAAAAACCCAATGTCGGAGCGGCTAAAGTGGATCATGCACCACTTGAGAGAAAGATTGTTTAGTATGGGGCAACGTTCTTAGCAGAATAGGGGGTCGATTGTGCAATGGATGAGTGGGAATTCAATGTTGGCAATGTTCCTCAGCAGGTTGGAAACGATGATTGTGGAGTATTTGCATGCCTTTACATGAAGCAATGAGCAGGTCACCTTCCAGTGGAATATAAAGCAAGTTGGCTTAAGGAGCAGCACATGAAGGAACAACGAGCACGCATTGCGGCCAACCTCCTTCTCTAGCACTGTAATCGCCGCAAGGAAGAAATAATTGGATTGGAAAATGATTGCGATGCACAGAAGGAGAAAGGGAAAAAGGAAAAGAAGGTGATATTTTGATTTGTGTAGTATGATATTGGTCTGTACAACTGCACATAGGGTTGGATAATATTTTGGTGAAAGATACTGGTTTGTATCAGAATGGATAATGTTTTGGTTAAGGATGAATATAATTAACAACAGACTAATATCAGTTCACTGAGCAATATATATCCAAACCACACAAACAAATATCCGACAACATGAACTAATATCGTTTCACATCATGAACTAATATCAGCTCTGACAAAACAAGTACCCACACTAACCAATTTAATATCCGACCACATAAGTTCTAATTGTTGTCTCAGTAGGACATAATATGCTCAGCCAAACCAAAGTATTCTTCATGGAAAATCCACTTTATTTAGATCGAGAAAAGCATACGCTTTTATAAAACCATGTGTTATAACTCGAATCCGTCATCAATCATATTTCCTATAGGCAAAGCAGTTAAAATCAGGATTTTACCTAAAATCGAAAACTGGGGTAAAATCGGAATTGTAAAATTGAATCGTAGAATCGTAGGATTTTAAGTACCATATAGAAATTAAAATATAATAAGGTAAATAATTAATAACACAAAGACATAACATTTAAAGTGATAACTTTCAAGATTAATGTTCCAAAATCATCATTTTAATTGTTATTTAATGCGTAACTCAAAATAATTTATGAGGAAGGGATAGAGCTCATGGGGTTTGGCTCTCTTTTTTTCGGGTGGAAATTTGGCTCTTGTTTTTCATGTTGTGTCTAGGTAGTTTAACTAAAAGTAGTATTCCGACATCGTCTACTAAGCATGATTTAAAACTAAGAATAACTGAAATCCAATAAAATAATTAATGTCATTGGTTTGGTACAAATATATTCATTAATCAAATAAATTGTTAATAATGTTAATTCTTACGCTCTTACAATATTCTGACAATTGTTTTACCGATGAGTTATAAGAAGAAGGGAAAGGGGATGATCGAACCCTAATTAGTTTTTTTTTCTTCTTTTCAAATGTTCTTTTAATAGGAATAATATATGAGAAGATCACCGTCATTGCTCGTTCCATCGAAACAGTTCCGCTTCTTTTGAATTGGCTCTAGCTCCCTATTTGTTCACATAGGATCAAAATCTCGATTTTGGTACGGTTTTACGATTTTAAAGATTTTAATCCCGATTTTGAACGATTTTAAGGTCCACCGATTTTATAGTAAAATCAAGATCAGAATCCCTAAGTAAAATCCTAAAATCCTACGATTTTACGATCAAAATCCCAATTTTGACTACATTGCCTATAGGAGCAATTGACAACTGAATGTAGTTTTCCCATTCTTTTCGTATCGATAAGACTGTGAAAAGAAACCAATCCCTAAACATACTAACATCCGCCATCCGGGATAGCATATCAATTCTTATAATAACAAATATCCAAACAACCCAGACTAATATCCGACATTGTGAACTAACATCATTTCAAACCAAAACTACTATCAGCTCATAACAAAACAAGTACACACACCAACCAGTTTAATATCCGACCACGTACGACTAATCCTAAACCGTAAAACACAATACTCTAAACCCTAAACCCTATACCTTAAATCCTAGTCACTAAACCCTAATCACTAAACCCTAAACTATATACCCTAAACCTATACCATAAACTCTAATCACCAAACCCTAAACCATAATCATAAAACCCTAAACCCTAATCCCCTATACTCTAAACCCTAAACCCTAATCTCTAACTATAAAACCTAAACCATAAATTGGTGTAATATGATTGGCTTAGTTGATGATACTTGAAACCATACTTGACCAATGTGATGGTACATGCATAAATAACAAATGATCACCTTATTCATGTCGGGGCATAACACTCCGAAAGTTCTGAACACCCTGCATTCGCATACCAGTGTCGTCGTAGAAATATCGATGAGAACGTGATACGCTAAAACACAACACCTAAGCAATGGCCAAGTGTAACCAATGAAAGGGACTGCAATATCGAATCCACGGGTCTCTAGAGTTACTATTTCTCAGCTTTAGTTCATTATCTAGCAAACTAGATTAAGGATTGATTTACTAAACTACTCTACTAATTACATGTTGGGAACTCACTCAGGTATGATTCCCCCTAGCTCCTCAATTAGGTCCAGGTTGCAATTCCTTTTGGTTTTTTACTGTTGACTAAACTGCGGAAGATCCTAAATTAGCTTGAAATCTCTTAAGCTGACCAAGCCCTCTGAGACAGAATACCAGGCAGATGACTAGCCTTCACCGAGATAGACTACTAAGGCGATTCACACAGATATCCACTACTGGAATGAATTCCAGTACAAAGCAGTGAATTGACTGACTCTCGCACAACCAATTCACTACTATCAATCAAGGAAGCTCTCTTAACCTAATCAGATCCTATCTATCAAAGGTTAAAGCGGAAATCAAGAGAATTTGATCAGGATTCAATTGACTCAATAATTCATGCCTCAATCGATTATAATCACACAATATAGAATCCAAAACTTCATACAAGAAAGATCCTAACATATGGAACTAGGGTTCCTCAAAACCTAAGTGAAGGGAAGTTACTCCATAGAGAAGAGAGAGACTACAGAAATCTGATCTAGATCTTCAATCTCCATCTCCAAGCTTGATTCTCGAGCTCCAATGGTGAAGAAATCCTCCAAAATAGCTCCAAGAATGGCTCTAGATCACCCTCTCTCTCTTTGGTTCATCCCTTGGGTGTTTGGGATCCAAAACCCAGCTCTCCCTTTCCTTTGGCTTGAATTTGCCTCAAAAACCTGATTCTGGGCAAAACACGGTCGAGGACAAGGTCATGTTTTACTTTTGTCCGCCCGTGTTTTGCCCCCAACAGCCCTCACGACATGCCCTCGGCAGTAAAAACACTAGCGGGGGGCAGATAAAACACGTGCGTGTTTTTAGGGTAGTCTGCTTGTGTTTTTACTGCCGAACATGTTCCCCTATATTCAATGCTTCGTTTCTCCCTCGTCCGGACTCCGAATCAGTTGTCATTTGATCTCAGACGCTCGTAGTCTCGTCCTCTTTCTTTTCATCACAAGCTTGCATGATTCTTCGTCTATAAATGAGGTATAAATCCATTCTTCTTCAGGTCATGCCCGAGTTTCTTCTCCCGAATCACCAATTGGTATCCGATTGACTTGAAACTTGCGCCTAGCCTTTCCTTCGACGCTTGGGACCTGAAATGTGACAAAGGAACACAACCTAGCATAAAATATTCAAAGAAATAAAAAACTCAAGCCAAAATGATCAAGAAACGAGGGTGCAACCATGTGCAAATACGACGTTATCAGAATGACACACTCATTGCTACACTCACCATCCTCCATCTTGTATGTGAGGTAGCCAATCATGTCATCGTCCCTAGTATGTGAGTGCTGCTCTAGTTGATAAGATTTTGTTTCCAAATATTGCCCATGTATCCGGTTGAAGATGTTAGGATTAAAGATCTTTGCCGCATGTTGGAGGATCGAGCTATGGTCCAACATTATATAGGGAACCGATTGTTTCCCATTGTAGTCTGACTCAGTCTCTTTGCGTCTTTTTTTAGACAAGAAATTATAATTAGAAAGAAAGACAAATGAGATCAGCGCCTAGACTAATATCCACTTATACCAGCACTAATATGCAACCAACACAAAGTAATACTTCACCATCGCATAAGAATATCCACATGAAACATAAAAATATCAAAACCTGGCAAACTAATATCCAACAAGCACAAAGTAGTATTCTTCTTACGTACCTGCTAAAGTGAATGAAAAACAAGTCCAAATCATGCCTTGGTTTCAAGAAAAGTCGCACTTGTGCATTGCACGACTTGCTTTCTTGCATAGTCAACATCCCCTCTATGAATTGATCTCTCAACCATAAGGAACCCCATCGATGACAAAATTTCTTCAAATATTCCAACCATGGGTGGCCGTCCACAATGTCGCTATTAGGAACACAATCAGCAACCATGACTCTCCATGCCATGTCGAACTCTACATCACTGTCGACGTAGTAGAAAAGAAAAGTAAGATAATTTTGGAAAATGTCTGGCCCTTACCAAGATGCTTCTTCCCATTCATAAGGATGTGCCAAGTACAGAGGGCATGAAACACAGTAGGCCACTCCTTTCTAAGGTCATCTGCCATGGCGGCTTCTTGATCGATAAAGATGGTGATTGGGAGCTTCTTCTTCATGCACCGGCTAAATGCAACAAACAATCATTCAAAAGAAGGAGTAGTCTCGTCTACAACAAACAAACACCAAACACACAAGTTTGCCTGTTCATTCGGGTCCAATTGTACACATTTTACCCCTCATTTCTTGTCTGTTTGACTTAGAATTTCATCGTCCCTCAACCTATTTTACGCTAGGTTGCGCTTGTTTGGACACATTTCAAGTCCTAAAGCGCGAAAAAGTGAAGAAACCTTGACAATTGCCTCGTGGGCATAAAGTGCGATGATTTTAGAGAGTTTTGTGCACCTCACTGAACCTCGACTGGATCATGGTCGCTGGACCGTGAAAACTCATCCCAGACCGTGAAGTTGGACCAAAACAACGCGTTTTTGTCCGAGATCACGATCCAAGCTTCAAATTCACAGTCGCGAACTGGGGCCGTAAAACGTGATTGTCGGGCTGGATAAAAAGGCAGCGGGGAGAGAGAAGGGAGAGCTGGTTTTTGGAGAAGAATTTGATTCTCTCTCTAGGGTTTCGACCCAAAACACCAAAGGGGAGTTATTGTGTGTGAGAGAGAGTTCTTGAATGATCTTGGAGTTTAATTGAAAGCATTGATCAAGCTTGGAAGCAAGGAATCAAGCCTAGAAAAAAGAGGATCTTGTGTTCCAATTTGTAATCTCTATCTTCTCTCTCTAGAAACTCACCCTCTTCTCTTGGGATTAAGAACCCTAGGTCTAGATTTTGATTGAGTGTTGATGTATGTGACACATTCCGTGTTTGATTGTTGATTTTACTTAATTGATGGATGTTTTCATGAAAAGCATGAGTTTGGTTTCCATAGCATTTCAATTGAGTTTTTGACCTAGGAGGGAAACAATCCCCTTAGAGCCCCTTTCTTGGTGTCTTCGGGTCGCTCCTCACCCTATATCGTCCGGGTAATCCCCGAGTGAGTCGATTGGGGGTGCCCTAGGTTGAATAGAGCACCACCTATCCATCGATTCACCATTCCTGGTCGATCCGGAGGGATTTTATCTCATAATGGTAGATTAATTAAGACAATCGAGCTAGGATAGGTATTCAAAATCATTCAAATTAATGGAACTAGGGGCATTCAAAACCAAGAGAGCTCCCAACCTTGTAAATAGCAAGGTTAGTGGTTAGCTAGGTTAGTTAGTTTAATTCTCTAAATCACTATCGTAGGTTGGCTAGATAACGAACCCTAAACTGAAATAAGTAAGCCTAGATCCCCGTGGTACGATAAATTATTATTGCTTGCTTGCCTTATGCTACACCCGGTTGGCAGTTATACTTGGTCGTCGATCAGGATGTTGTAGCTAGAACGAGGCATTTGTGGTGATTGAAACCTATAAACTTCCTTGCACAAGACAACCATTAATGACAATGCATAACCGAACAGGTGTCCAAAACACTCAAGGGAATTAGGTGATTCACGTACCTAGTGGACGAAAGTGTTTATTGGTTCGATAGGTCGTATCAAAGTAGATCGAGTCTCCAAAAAGCGCATACTCTTCACGCATCCTACTGTCCGCCCAAAAAATATTGGCAACTTCATCCTTGCATTCTACCTCTACAACATAAAAAGAAGTCAGGATGCTTGTCCTTTTGGTCCTCAAAGTAGTCAAGCAAATAATTTGCTTCACCATGAGCCATTTTCTTTTGTTGTTTACTGTTCAAGTGGTTCTTCTGATCGGATTTGGTAAATGTAAGATTTTGATACCCACCGACACACTCAGCCGGTAGCTGATAACGATGCCCTAAGACTCATCCCGGCATCACGATTAGCTTCAACCATCTTTCTTTGAGCATCACTCATGCACTTGTTGGACTTGATTAGGTGCATATGTTCGGTAGAGTGCAAATCATGACTGTGGGCTCCTACAAATTCATACACCAAAAATTCATCCCTAACTCGAGGCCTCTTTCTTTTAGGACACCTTCTCTACACAACCTTGTCTTCAGAGTGTCTCTATTTCTACCCAACCCTTCTTCTCACAAAATCAAACCCAAAATTTTGGTGGACCTGCAGCCACTCCACCAGTTCCCTCCCTTTGGCTCTGCTTGGGCTAAATAGCCCACCACAGCTTAATAAAGTGAGCCCATCTCCCCTCATTCATTGGATCGCAGCTTGGCCTCCGTGGATAGCATATGGGTAGTATCAGTATCATCTAACAAAAAACTAGGGATGGCAATGGGTCGGGTTGGGTTCGGATAGTGCATATAAGTTACCCTACCCAAAGTAGTTCGGGTTTTACCCATACCCATACCCACATAAGAAACGGGTAGAAAATCAAAACCATGCCCATGCCCGTTCGGGTTTCGGGTATCCACGGTTATCCATGGGTAATAATTTTTCTTCATAACTCCAACCAATATGTTAACATTCTCGCATATTCTCACATTATGTAAGAGGAAAAATACAACAATAATTCACTAGAATGAAGAAAATTAATTAAAACAATACAATTTCATGAAAATGCTATATTTATATGCTAAATATTAAATATGTTAGAGAAAAATAATGATTATTTTTAGACAAAATATATATGAATGTGTATAATCGGGCGGGTTCGGGTTGGATAGTGAGAAACCCATGCCCGCCGATTACCCGCAATATTCGGGTTCGGGTTTTACCCGTAACCACTAAAAGTTCTTCGGGTTCGGGTTTTACCCTACCCGATTATGTCGGATTCGGGCGGATATCCACGATTACGAATATTTTTGCCATCCCTACAAAAAAACTCTGTTAAGAGATTAACTTTTTCGCTCCAGAGTAGCCTATAACCAGAAAAAGCAAAAACTTTGTACCAAAAAAAAAAAAATAGCAAAAACAACACTTACATTTACAGTCGGAAGAGAAGAGAGTAGCAACTCCGCTTAGATTTAGGGTTTCGTTGTCTTCTGAGATAGGGGAAGATGACGCCAGCACACAATTAAGAAGAAGAACGGAGGCGACTTTGAAGGAGGAACTAGGACAAGGGGGTACCGTAGCTTCCTCCATCTCTCCCTACTCTCTGATGATTTTGATCAAAATGCTAGAGGAACAGAGAGGGGTTCGCGAGGAAGGAGAAATGAATTGATCTAAAAATGGCCCCTTAACCTATCTATTTTGCATATTTAGGAATTAAGTGGCGTCGGGTTTGGTTCATGGGTTGGGTGGGTTAATGGGATGAGTTGGACATATGACATGGCGGATTTAGTGATGTGGCGGGTCTGTTTTCACCATTTCCGGCCCAAAATGATGCTGACTAGGCGATCTCGTTAGCCATGTTAGTACATAATAGGTTCCATTAACAGAGTTGGACGAATACTATATAGAGTGACTAAATGTGAAATGTTTTAATAATTTGAGTGGCCAACATTGATATTATTTTTTCCAGTTGCTAAACGTGGCATATTTTAGTAAACTCAGTGATCAAGCGTTGAATCTACTGTTTGCTAATCTTTGGATAGGGAATGAGCGTGTGTGCAGCAAGAATTTACTAAACAGGTCTGGTCTGATAAAGTAGGGCAAAAAATCCAAACTATCACATATGGGCCGGGCCCGGGGCCCGGGTGTACCCTTACAAAAACAGAAACAGGCTATCTTGATATGAGAGCACTCGAACAAAAAAGAAAAATAATCGGGAGGGAGGAATTGCAGTGAAGACAAGAAAAGCAGAAGAGGATTTCTTCTTCCACAGTACAGAAGAGATAGTGGCGCGAAATCCATTTTTCGCAGGTATCTCCTCCTCCCTTAATCCTAAGGAAATGTTCCAAAGCTTCAAAACTAGCCGTGGTAAGATGGCTGAGCGTAACTGGAGTTGTACTTGTCCCCATGTTCTGCTGCTATTTGTTTGTTTCAGCCATAGTCACATAACGCGCTCTCTAACTTCATGGAAAAGCTTCAATTGCGGTTTGCGGACGCTCGACTTGTTAATGGAAACATTTTTAGGGCTTGATTTTGTTCTGGTGTTTAATTTGTTTAGGAAATTCTGAACTTCGTTGTAGTTTTAGGTGCGAAGTGATTGTTGTATCTTCAACTCTTCTCTAACGTTACCTTTCTTTTCGTCGGGCTTGACTTGGCTGCTTAATTGTTCGTCGTAATTTTAAATGTCAGGTCTCTGCAACTCATCTAGGAATGCATTGAATTCATGGCGCATTACCAGCCTTTGAATCGGCAGGTCAACTCCTTGTATAGGAGGTTTTGGTACTTGCGTGGAAACTTGACTAGCTCTTTGCAAACCAGACTGAAGAATGTTCAGATACAGTTTCCATTCACTCCGTGCAGTAAGGTAATGGCAATTTCAAGCATACATATAAGAAAGGCATCTTAAGATGGTTCTTTGGTTTTAGCAGGTACCCTGTTTGTTTTGGCACAAATAGTGGAAGTTAGGCAGTCGACCATTTCGTTTGTGCGAATTTCTATATGATTTTGTGGGTAATACAGTTCCAGGTCGCTATACTTGGAAAGAGAATAAGTAGTACTGATAATAGTAGTCAAGAGATTCCAGGCTTTGTTTGTGCTTAAGTGATTGGACACGAGACTTTGATAGACAGTTGCCACTCTGAAGCATGTTTAATTTCATTTGTAGAATTCTGTACACTAAATCTGGCATTTCAATTCTGTTTACATTTGCTGATTGATGTTCTTTCTCAGATGGAGAGAGTACTGTCAACCAATTTTGTCTTGATGAATTTGCTTGTTTTGTAGTTTGTTTCCCAGGATTGCCGGAGTTTGTCAACCTCAAGTTTGAAGTCATCTCAAGCGATTTCTGCATCCTCTCCTGCAAATACAGTAATTCCCTTAAAGTGCGAAAATGAACTCCACCAAGAGACAGTCCATGATATAACTCAGCATGAAGGGAGAAAGGTGGATAGTCATAGTAATCCGTCTAATTGTAGAGTGATGCTTGTAGATGGAACATCAATCATTTATCGAGCATACTACAAGCTCTTATGTAAGTAGCCTCACTTACTTTTATCTGTCTTTCCAAAGTCATGCCATGTTGCTTTACCAATATTTATCTTCTTATTTCATTTAACTCATTGCTTGTACTCTTGATGGTTGCACCCGTCTTCTCCTTTTCATATTTGAGGACCAGTTAGTAGAATTACTAAAGCAATGAGGAAAAATCTACTTGCATACACAAGTGTTGGAATCATTGAATAATGAAACAAAGAAGTTTTTAATACTAGTCTTTTTTAAGTTGGAAAGAGGCTTGTTCTTTGATTCTGATGTGTTCAATCACTTCGCATGTAATCATTGGATTATTATTACAATATCCTTCTACTTTTCATTTGGCGGCAGCGAAGTTGCACAATGGTCATCTATCAAATGCAGATGGAAATGGGGATTGGGTACTAACTATATTTTCAGCACTAGCTCTTGTAAGTGATATGGTTGGTTAATAGCCTTTCTTTCCGACACATGGTTTATCTCAAGAACAACAATGTTTTGTAATTGAACATCCTGTGTTGGGATTGCATTTGTTAAAGAATGTCAAAGACACACTGCTTTTATAAAATGATATTTTCTTAAATATCAACCATTGCATGTCTGACTCGTAATGAAGCACTTCAGTAATCTTCCAGGTTATTTGTAGAATTGATCTCAAGACCTTCCTCAAATCGAAAATGTTTTCTCCTATCATGTAGACCAGAGTCCAATTTCATTTTACTGCAATCGAGGAATCCAACCTTCCAACACTTGTTGCGAAAGGGTGTTTGTAGAACTGATCTCAGACATGTCATGTTCTAGGCAACTTTTATAATGCATGTTCCATGACAATTCAAATTGCCTAACCCTTGTATGTTGATCTCTTTGGTGAATGTTTGACACAATTTTCTCATCTGAACTATTTTAAGGATATTGCCTCTTCTGTTTCCCATCACAATACGTCCAATTTTCTTAAGATTTAATTTATTGTGGTTTTCTGAATTGTCGTTTACGGTATTATTTGTTACAGGTTGGATGAAAACTAATAAATGTAACAATCATAACATTATTCCTTCATTTCCGTTCATGCTTTTTTATTCTGACGGATGGTTGATATTTCTCTTTCAGATAATTGATGTCTTGGAATTGCTGCCTTCTCATGTAGCTGTAAGTTATTCTCAATATATGTTACTATCTTCAGTATACGATGATAATCAAACAAGTCGCGAACATCAACACTACTATGTCTGTTTGAACAGCTGTTATGTAGGTTCTACTCTAAACTAGGAGAATTATTATAATTTAGCTCTGAAAATTTCACAGAGTGCTTGATTATGGTGTTGTTATATCTTTCTTACTTTATCAAAGAGTTGTTCTCTTAATTAATTGGTGTTCTTGTATTCATTTGCAGGTTGTATTTGATTATGATGGTAAGATGGTGCTTCTACTTCTCTATTTGGTTGTCTTGATTGTTCCCTTCGAGGCTTGTCACATTAAATGCTGTTTAATTTCCATTTAACTCGCTTAGCATGGCTCTCAGAATTCGCCGAAGCATTTTTCAATAGTAGAAAATTAGCATATTATTCAGGGTGGAGTAATAAGTACCACTGATTTGAGAATTCATACCTGTATCGTTTCCACGAGATGGTCTTAGTACCATCCTTTATATATGTCTTTGGTATGATATCGTTTGATTGTTGTTGTATTGAGAAACTCATTGGGTCAGTGGAATTGGCATTGGTGCTGTGAAGGCACAATGTCATAGTTTGTCTTATTTCAGTAAATATCCTCTTTGTCTTTTGGGATTCACTCCAGCCTTATTATGAACATATATGAACCTCCCTTCACCAGGACCGTATCACATACCAGAGATGGACTACAATTTTGTGTTACAATGTCTGAGTTGGGTTTAGACTATTGTTAGTAATGTACATTGCTTGTTACAAGTATGACTGTTCGTCTGTAGAGTCTTACCTAAATCTGAAAGCATTAATCAAATTATTATACTTGTTCAACTTCATTAGAGGTAGGTGGATTGGAGACTACCTAAATCTGAAAGCATTAGTCAAATTATTAAAGCCCAAACATGTGCTTGGGCAAGTATATAAAGTCATACTCTTTGTTGACATTTTTTTTTTTTTTTTGCTACCAATGTGAACCAATGCTTCAAAGTGTTGTATTTTCAATCTCAACCTAAGCTGATATAGTTTTGTATGCGCCTATTCTATAATCTATCATTGGTTGATTATGAGTTTTGGGTAGTACGATGTTTCTTTGATGAGCTACTTTGTCATGCCAAATGTTGATAGAGTAAGCGTTTCGTTTTCAGGAGCTCCGTTTGATCATACTTGTGTTTCATCCAAAGAAAATTTGAGGGGAAAAGGTATGTTTAGTTCATAGTTCTAGAAAACCTTGTGCAAAATAAGGATTGATAATTTGTAGAAAAAACTTGCAGCCAGATGAGGTTGTGGTTGACTTTACTTGTGGGTTTACATAAAGAAATATCATATTCATAAATGAAAATTTTCTTGTTCTAATAGCACTGTTGAAGATCAACTATGCATGACACATATTTGTTCAATATTATCATGACAATGATAATTTATTAGTTTTTATTCCCTGTCAGATTCCAAGGTGCCACTGATAACTGAAGAGATTGAATTTAATAAGATACAATTATCATGTGGGGATTCTATTTTTTTTTTTTTTCTTCTTTTTTCTACCAACTTAGTTATTTATCATACTCTACACAATGATAGTGTTTTTTTAAGGTAGGTCATCTGCTGCCTTTCATGTGATGATTTTATTGAGAATGCTGAGTTGAAGGGACACAGAATTTGAATGCCAGACTTGTATAGAAGAATACGAGATGGAAACATCCCCTATTATTCAATGACTTATGATTAGGGGTGTCCATTCGGGTTCGGTTTTTCGGGTTTACCCGAAACCGACCCGATTATATACATTTTCAGTTTTTCGGGTTCGTTTCGGGTTTCGGGTTTTTCGGTTTTGGGTTCGGTTTTGCTTATCGGTTTTTCGGGTTCCGGCTAAAAACCTTCAATGAATAGAACTCAACCCGTATTCTTAGGCGTTCGGGTTTTCGGGTTTTGGTTTTGCTTTAACCGAACCCGATAAGGAATTTTCGGGTTTCGGGTAACTGGAACCCTCAAGTCCTTATCGGGTTCGGGTTCGGTTTTAGTGGTTTTCGTTTTCAGATTTCCGGGTTTCGGTTCGGGTAACCGAACCCGACCCGAACTGACACCCCTACTTGTGAGGGATCAAACTATGGATATTGGTGTTTTATGCATGCTGTGTTAGTAATTGCAACAATCATGGATAATTGAACTCTGTTGTTGTGTGTTATAGTACATGCATGCTACCACTGAACCAACTCTGGAGAGTAACAAATTTGGAGAAAGTATTAAAAGGGTGAACTTACTTTTTGTGATAATCAGAAGTGCTTTGAACTTAATACAGTTTTGCTCGACACAGCATGCTAGATTTGTGCACCAAGAGTGTCTAATTGATCAAGTATCTAACATGGAGCTAAGTTGATGCTACAAGATGCACCTTGTGGTTATTGTGCAGTTATAAACAGATTTAAGTTATATAACTGAATTTGTTTATCCTTATTGCCGTAACTCTTTGAAGGTATCAATTTTCGCCACAATTTATACCCTGCATACAAGAGCAACCGTCCTCCTACACCTGACACAATAGTTCAGGGACTGCAATATCTGAAAGCATCCCTCAAAGCCATGTCCATTAAAGTCATCGAGGTAAATAACTGTGCATTCTTCCTTTGCTTACATGACTATGCTCACTTGGTTACTGACCCAATTCTGTGTCAAGACAGACACCTGGAGTAGAAGCAGATGATGTGATTGGAACGTTAGCCACAAAAAGTGTTGCTGAAGGGTTCAAGGTAACTATGAAATTGCAAAAGATCAAGGGCATCACTTACTTTACTGTTAGCAAGTGGACCTTGCACAATCAGTTTGAAACAATTTCAAAATTTCGTCAATGAAAGATTATGATGGATGGTTTCATTGGCCTTCTTTTCATACAATACAAAGCATAAAAAACCCTCAAATATGTCAGAGCCAGTCACAGAGTACTATTTAGAAAATGAGGGGTGGTATCTATCTGATGTCTTTTCCTCCATGACGTGTAGTTTCTATTCAACACATTTAGTCCTTGCTTTTACTCTGTTATTTATTCTTTCATATATTGGTCCATATGCCTTAGTGGTGCACAGCACTCGCAATTCTGGAGTTTAGTTTTAAATGAGTCCATTTTTCTTCTTTTTCCTATTTGATATGAGAATCCATGCTTCATCTCAATATACTTTTGAAGGTGATACCTAAAGTGTTTAAGATGCATGACGTCTCAAGAGATGTGCTCCATTGTCTCAAGTTTAAAAAGTTAATGTGACTATATGAATACTTTCTGCCTCAATGTTGCTTATATCCTCTGACCTTTTAATGATATCCTTCTGCCAGGTGCGAGTGGTTTCTCCAGATAAAGACTTCTTCCAAATTCTATCTCCTTCATTGCGTCTTCTACGCCTTGTACCACGGGGCTCTGAGTTAGTATCTTCCTAAGAATTCTGTCCACTCTAATTCCACTGAGATGTTACAGATTAGTACATGAAGGAAAATTCCAGATATTGAACTTGAAGTTCAACCAGAAATCCTCATCATAAAGGATCTAGTGCTGTAGGAACCCCAACACCTGCATTGCTTGAGAATAATGCATGTCGATTGTACCATTGGCCTGTGATATATCATCTCTTCTCTGCATCTAGAGTGCATGGATGCATTGTCGAAAGCATGTGCTTGTGATTGTATTTTAATTGCTCTTAGAATTTCAACTGAGAACCTGTTACCTTCGAATCTCAATTGGCATCATTCGTGGCTATTTTCTATGGATAACATCTTTATGTCTTGGAGTTCTTCATTAATTTGTTCTGCCACATCTTCCTGTTTTCATCATTAGTTAGTGGTCATGGATAAGGGGGCAAGCATGCGACAACCCCAGGTTTAGGTAGATAAAGCTGAAACCTTCTTGAATCCTCTATTCCCAGCCTTGTGTAACATTATGTTATTGACTTATTTCTCACATTTTCATAGCTTTTTGTAGAGTCCTAGAGGACAGTAGGGATTTTGGAATCCCTTCATTATTGATATTATTTTGGGTAATCATGAAGTGTCAAATTTAGATAAACTCAATATTTCTATTTGAATCCATTCCTGCTGCCCCTAAGATAACTCTCGTTTGTCCACTTTCTGTTTCCTTGCTGATACCATATTCATTTGTTTGCTTCCTCAGAATGGTTTCTTTTGGGATAGAAGATTTTTCTGAACGATATCGGTCATTGAAACCTTCTCAATTTGTTGATATGATCTCTCTCGTGGGTGACAAGGCAGATAATATTCCAGGTCATCTTTGCACTACTATGATTAACTGTATCTATATATTTCTGTCTAAATTGAGAAGAAAAATATTTGCTATGACATGCCCTCTTCTTACATTGAAGTATTAATGTTTATATTCTTACAGGAGTTGAAGGTATAGGTGACGTCCATGCTTTGCAACTAATCTCTAGATTTGGTAAGAAACAGTTGTACCTGTGGTCATCGGTTACATTATGTAAAAGCAGGACATAGGGGCTGCACAAACTCATTTTACATGATATGTCTGGATTCCATATGTTGTTTCAGAGGCGTCACTGGCACCTAGTGCTGGATTGATCTTTCTTCATTTGAGACTTTTTAATCTTTTGTGTATAGTGGTGATATTTTGCATGTGATAAGAGATTACTGATTTTGTCAGGGACACTGGAAAATCTGCTGCAATGCATTGATCAAGTTGCAGAAGAACGAATAAAAAAGGTAAACGCTCTTAGCTCGTTTACAATTGGTGGCAGTCTGCAAATACTTTTTATCCAAGTTATGAAATATGATGTCTTTTTGCGGTCTCTTTTAGAGATGATGTTGGCCCCAAGTCTTTGGCAGAGTGGTTTGAATATTTTTGTCTATCTACTACCACTAACCCAACCCTTGGATTGTCATTTTGTATAGTTCTGCCCATTGTTAATCTTTTCCTGCAAAAATTTCTGTTTGAGGCCATCAAACAATTGGGATTCAAAAAAGTATCTCTTTTGCTCATCGATCCATCAAAACCCTTGGTAGATTCATCCTATAATATCGACTATGCTGCACCTCTCTAGTCTTGATCAGCTAAGAGTTCACTTATCTGCATCCGAGATCATATCATGGTGAATTTTCTGCCTCCCTTCGGGAAAATGATTGCCGAGTGGTTTATGCCCTTCAATGACATAAATAAGAGAAAATCTAGCTTTACTTCTGGATTGTTTTGGCCATTCGCTGAATCGCTGCTATCTGTGGTCATTTTGCATATGTTTTGTAGGCCCTGATAACACATGCTGATCAGGCTGTACTAAGCAAAGAATTGGTAAAATAGAACACAGCCTTGCCTCCTCTCCTACCGCTTCTCTTCCTTATTACGACGTGTAAACATGTTTTGTGGTGGTGGCAGGCCATACTACGATGTGATCTTCCACACTACATGGTTCCATTTGACACCGAAGACCTGGAGTTTAGGAGACCAGAGGTCTGCAGAATTACCATGCATTTTTCCTGATATTTCCTCTTCCATGCTCTGTCGGCCCTGATCTGTTTTGGGTGACTTCAACGTACAGGATAATGGGGAGAAATTTACAAGTCTGCTGAATGCGATAAGTGCTTATGCGGAAGGATTCTCGGCTGATCCAATCATTAGAAGAGCTTCCTACCTCTGGAAGAAGCTCGACTCTCAGTGACCTCTGCTATGCAGCATCCCCCAAATCTGTATACACCAAACTCCCCAAGATATTGCCAGTAACGTTTAAAATGTGCCACCATTTTTGATAGGAGTAACTAGGCAAATTATTTTCATGCACGAGCCCAACAAGCTTACAGTGCTCAACCAAGCTCAGATCTAGTACCAAGATGTCAAATCATTGGATGAATGAGGCCTAGAAAGGTTGAGAATAGAACTTATCTCGTCGTTGAAAGCAAAGAAAGAGGAGCCATCTCTGCTTTCTGAGTCTTGTTCATCTCCCCATATTGCGTCGAACTCTCACAAATCGCGGTAAAATGTCGTGGTACTTTGATAGATGATGATCTCTCCAATTAAATTAATCATTCTCGTCCATTTTCTTTTGCATTTCGTTTTCAGTTTGATAAACCAAGCCGATTAGCGTTCCGTTCCTATACGGCGTTTCTTTGAATGGGTTTTTGTTACCCGTTTTACATAACGCGGGATGGGATTTAAATGTCGGACTGGGCCTCGGTCCCCCAGCAGCCCACTTGTGATGAAGTAACGCCCAAAACCAACCAGGTGCATTTCGCCTTAACAAAACAAAACAAAAAATGTGTCGTCATTAGTCTATCTCTCCATAATAAATAAAAAGAAAATGGAGAAACTTGAACTCAGCATTTTAAATTTCTTATATCTATAACGAAAGTGAGAAAGGTAAATTTGTCTTCACAATCATTTATTATTTTCTTATTTACATAAAGAAATACATCAATAATGAGATTTGAACCGTGGTCTATTCAAACAAAGATAAGAAAAACAACCAGCTACACTAACAAAAAAAATATTTTTTTTAAAAAATTAAAACATACACGAAGCTTAAATTTGAAAAATCATAGGACTTTTGGACCAAGGTTACCTAACCCACTAACTCTCCGGTAAATATATTTTTTTTTGGTATTTAATACTCTCTTATTTGATATTTTATTTATTCTAATTCGAGTTTAATAATTAATTTCATTTATCTTATGAAAGGAGGATAGTTTTAAATCGCAATCGAAAGGTAATCGGTTCAAATATTGTAATCGAATTGTACTATTGAATGCGCAGAAGTGATGTAGAATTCTTAACATAGACCTAATTTTTATAACTAATATAAAGCAATGCTATTTTTTAGCACATAAGTTTTGGGTGAATATGGGGCACATGTGTCCTTAAGAGAGCAGTAAATATGAAAAGGTTGAGTGATGTTGGTTTGCCGAACACGGATTGAAAAGAGACTACTAATGTAAACGAGCCCAATTAGTGCTCCGACCCACTAAACGCATCACCGTCTCTCCAAACTTCCCATCGAAATCAACAACCAGCTAACCTCTCCATTTCTATTATTACGTCAAAGCAATTTCCGGATGGGCAAATATGAAAAGTTTGAGTGTTGTTGGTTTGCCGAACGCGGATAGAAAAGACGCTACTAATGTAAAAGGGCCCAAATAGTTGCCTGGCCCACTAAACAGTCAACCACCACACTTAATTTCGCTACACCTAATATAATATTGAAATGAGAAAGGTATTTCCCCCATTACAAAATCCTTGCATCCATAGCGAAAATAGGAAGGATTGATTCGTCTTCATAATAATTTATTATTTTCTTATTTACAAAAAAAAAATACATCAGTGATTGGATTTGATATGTGGTCTCTTTAAAAAAAGACAAGAAACATAACCAGTTACACAAAACTAATTGTTTGATCTTTTTAAATTAAAAACATACAGGAAGCCTATATCTGAAAAATCATAAGAATTTTTTACCATGGTTAGCTAACCCACAAACATACATGAAACTTTTATCTGAAAAATCATCGGTATTTGATACTTCTATTTTCATATTTTGATTATTTTAATTTGATTTTTATAATTAATTGTATTTATGTTTTATAAAAGACAATAATTTTCAAAATCGCAACCCTAACATCATTGGTGAAAATATTGCATATCTAATTACAGTACTGAATGTGTAGAAGCGATGTAGAATTCTTAACATATACTTAAATTTTATAACTACCATAAAACAACAATATTTTTGAACACATAAGTTTTGAATTAGCACACGTGTCTTTAATTTACATCCCTACCATAAGACATCCCCGTCAGCAACAAAGCCATGAGCGAGATAAAGTGAAGATGTCTCCTTTGTCGTCTGTACGTTCCAAAAGACGGGACAGAACCACCAGACCAGAAGACGTGCAGAAGCCGTCGGACCAGAAGCGAGCGGGGCAGATTAGAAGTTGAAGAAAGATGGGGGAGAGGAACAAATTCAAGGAGAGGAAGGATATATGGTTAGGTTGGGTTATTGGATTTTATGATGTGTCGGATTTTATAACGTAGTAGTTTGTCTTTTTTAATTTGTGTGACTCGGCATTTAAGTTAGCCTCGTCAGCAAAAAACTGACGCCGTTAAGAAGAGTGACCAAACATGAGTTATTTAATTAATCCTAACGATCATGAATGAAATAAAATAATTTTCGTGACCAAACGTAAATTTTTTAGTAATTCTAATGATCCATTTTGCAATTTATCGTATATTTTATATATAATTAAATTTCTTTGCTTTTCGTATTTCTACATATATCTTACTAAATGATGGGTAGATACAATTTAATATTCAAAACGTTCATTTTAAACAAAACAATAGCCAAACATTTTCAAAAATAATTTAATAGCCAAACCGTCAACTTTCTATCCGGTTAATCGTTAGTTGACTTTGACGTGGCAAAAATTAAAATAAGCTGGATAATTTTGGCTGATGTAGCAAAAATTCAAAACGTTGACCATGCCGCATGGATATTACATAATTTTATAAAATAATTTTTGTTTTCATAAAAATAAATATGAATAATTTTTTAAAGATTTCCTTTTTTCGTTTCTCCAACTCCCTTCTGTATCCCTCCACCGATGAAACCCAGCCGTCGCTAGGGATGGTTGGGGCGGGTTTGCCTAAACCATCCCCATCCCATCCCCATTACCAAATACCCAAATCCATATCCGCCTAGACCTGGCAAATTACAATCCGACCCGAAACCGCTCGAAAACTAGAAATTTTTGTAACCCGAAACCTGAATGACCCGATAACCCGTGAATTTTTGGGTTGGGTTGGGCGGGTTAGTAAGTCGACCCGTTAGACCCGTTCCATTTTAAATATCACTCTCAAAGAGATAAAATCACTCATAAATTGGTGAGATGTTTAAAAAAAATCACAAGGATTTGAATGACATATTTGGAGTTTAAGGATAATCAATTATCATGTTTTTCTTGTACTAGTATTACTTTTGTGATTGTTTTTTTGACGATTTGCGCAATTTGTAGTTCATTTCATTAGCGTGGGAGGATTTGAGAATATGCTAATTGACATGTGTTAAGTAAACGATTGTCATGCATATGTGAAAATTTGTGTTCTTTAAGAAAATATGAAGCATGTTTGTTATTGTGTCTGAGAACGCTCATAACCCGAAATGATCTGTAACCCGACCTGAAACCGAATGGGTTGGGTCAATATTTGACCCGAAATTAGCCAACCAAACAAGACCCGACCTGTAGCCAAAATCCCCACCCCGAAATTACCCAACCCGACCCGATTGCCATGTCTATTAACCCGCCCCATACCCATGCGGAGGGAGGTTTTGCAAACCCATCCTCATACCCATGGTTTTTGGATACCCATGGATAATACACGCCCCGTATAAGCAACATTATTATATCTAAAGTTCAACATGCATGTCTCCTAACTGATTATTTTTATCGGTTAATGAAAGAGCATCAATTATAACACAAAACACACATGATAAATAGCGAAAATCAACATAGTTATAGTATTTCTTAATAGGAAAAAGCATTCAATCCTAAAATATTGTTTAATCAATAAAATAAAAATATAATACTATATAAAATCATTCATCTCCAAATCTAACACATCTATATAGTAAATAGCTAACATAAACTTGTCAACTAAACAAAAACCTATTTTGCTTATAAAAGATTAAAGTCTACTAGACTACAAATTATTCAAACACACTCAGTCACACCAATATGCATAAAAATAATTCAAATGTAAAAAAATTATATGCAATGACCTATTACTATCTCATCAACAATTTTGGTAAGGTGGACATCTCCAAGATGATTCAGGAGTTAGGAGAGGAAAGACGACTACATTGAAGAATTGAGAAAGTAAACTGTAGCGGGGCAGCCGGCTAAGAGGGTTGAAAATTTTAAGGATTTTGATAAATATAATTACATTTTAATCATGATTTCTTATTTAATTATCTTTGTGCTAATAATAATTTATATAAATATATCTATAGCTTTTTACGTATAGCAAAATACTTTGATGGGGGCGGGTTTGGGTATGAGTATGGGGCAGGAGACGCTAAAACCATACCCACCCCATATACATCAAGTTCTTTGCGGGTTTACCCATACCCGCCCCATACCCGGTCAATGCAAGAATTCCTCGCATTGACTGAATCGGAGGTGGGCGGATACCCGCGGTCATGGATTTGATTGCCATAGCCGTCGCCCTTCGCCCCCTGTCTCTCTGTCTGATTCTGCCCTCTACTTCTGCTGTTGTGGTGGGGATTTGAATCGTCTGTGTGGAGAGGTTCTTCGGCGGCGCAGCTAAGAGCGAGGAGCATATGGGGAGCGGATGGGTAGATGGAGTCAGGCCTGCTCTTGGCGACAGTTTTGCAACCAACCTTCCCCGATCGGAGTTACTGCTGTCGGCTGCGGCAATTTCTTCAGGGTTCTGTGGGGAAGGGTTCTGAAAACAAAAAATATTTTATAAAATTATGTAATATCCATGTGGCATGGTCAAATGTTTGACTTTTTACCACATCAGCTAAATCCTCATCTCATTTAAAATTTTGCCACGTCATTTTTTCGTAGGTTATATCTTTACGGTCAACCGAATGAAAAGTTGACAATTTGACAATATTTTTTAAAAATATGATTATTATTTTATTTAAAATAAAAAATTTAATTATTAAATTATATTTACCTAGACATTAATTGTAGATCGAACCATTCCGCTTTCTTAATTTTTTTTTTTGGTAGAAAAAAAATTATCCAAACTTGTAATTTAACGCTATAAGGCTGAGTCCAATGGGCACCCCATTTATGGGGGAATCTGCAAAAATGGAGGAGGAGATGGTCCAATGGAGAGGTTTGGGTCTCCAAAAATGGAGGATCCTGCAAATGGAACTCCAAATTTGGGGGTGGAAATGGGGGATCCCCCAAATATAGAGGCTCACCAAAGCCCGCCACGTGGCTTTTCTTTTTCTTTTTAAGATTTTAGGGGTTAATTGAGAGTTTAATTAGGGGATTAGTTAGGGATTTAATTAAATCAATCATTTTCAAGTGTTGTGTATAAACCCAAATTAGGTACATAATTTTTTGCCAACAAAAATTCGGACTCGGAATTTAACAAAATTCTATCGAAAAATTTGTATTTAAAAATGATGACGAACTATATAAAAATTAACATGAATAAATTATATTAAGACTACGATAAGTACATTTTTAAGTAAATGGAAAAACTAGAAAAATGAAAATCCCCAAATATGAAAATTGAAGCATTGGAACAAAATAAGGGAAAATGGAGATCAATCCCCAAATTTGGAGATGAAGGCCCAAATTTGGGATTTTGCATTGGACTTGGACTAAACAAAATCAAACTCTGAACTCTCCCCAACAGTACTACAGTACGGCCTTTCCAAGGCCACCACCATCTACCTCTCGCTTTCTCCGTCTCCTTCCCAACTTCCCTCGTTCAGCTCTCCTCTGTCCTCTCCTGTTCTGTTCAGTGCAAGTCCAGCCAGCATTCTCCATTGGAAAGCCGGCGGGCGGAGTCAACCAACAACTAAAGGGCGCGGAGACTCGCCGTCATCTCCGTGTCTCATGGAGTCTCTCTCCCTTGCTTCCATTACTGACCCCAGGACCATCTCTCCGTCTTCCTATTCTTCTCCTTCTCTTCAGATTCCTCGACGTCTTGCCCATTCAAATGGCTTCTTCCCGTTATCAAGCACCGGGTTTCTAGGCAGAATGACGAGCAGGGGTCCGGTTGGGGCGGAAATGGTGAAACAGACTGCATCGGAGATCGATTTCAGTGATCCGGAGTGGAAGTTCAAGTACCAGAAGGATTTCGAGCGCCGTTTTAATATTCCACACATAACTGATGTATTCCCCGACGCCCGGCCGATTCCTTCTGCGGATGAGGTACTCGGTCCTCGCTCCTATTTTCTCCGGCTCATTTGAATTCTTCTGGACGAACTGTAAACTTGACAGAATGATTTCGTTTTCGTCAATTGTGTGGGATTTGAAACACTTGATTTTTCCGGTTGTTTTCGAGTAACTTGCATTTTCAGTGCACTCACTTTTTTTTTTTTTTTGCATTCAATACACTCACTTCATAACCATTATTTATATCGGATGAACAATAATCAACAATAATGAACATAAATTTAACTCGAAGGTTAGAGTTTAGAGATATATATTCTGTTTCGCTAAGCATCTCCTTGAATTGCCTGTTCTATTGCTAAACAGCTCCAGTCCTATCCCCTCAGAGTTGGTTCACTTTGTTTTGGACCACATTTTACAGGACTCCGGTGTCTGAGGAATTTGCCGGCGGTTATCCCTCTGATGAGGAATGGCATGGATACATCAGTAATAGCGACAGGGTCCTTCTCAAGGTACTTAAACCCCTGATCGCCTCTTAGTGAACTCTCTATAACTACATGTTGGGTCGCTGGATTATCATTTCTTATAATTGCCTAGATATGGATTTAAGCAGATGACAGTTCTTCCATTACATTTGGAGTTTTCTGGTAACTGTAGGTCCTGTCATTACTATTGAAGGGCAAGGGAGTTATGGTATTAGGGGTATTCTCATATAGATGTGTGTAGTCAATGTTGCGAACTAGACGAAGGAATGATTGCTAATGAACGCCCCTGCGGTTCAAACTGAATTGTTTCAGATGTTTACTTCTTCATTGAACATGTTAATCAACAAAAACGGCTAACCCAGAAGCCAAAGCTTCATTGAAAGACTGAAAGCATGCATGTCAGTTGGATGCTAAGGTTCCGCATGCTCAACTCCAAGAAGCAAAGTCTTGGTTCACCCTTTTCAAATTAATCACCTATTGGCAGCTTCTTGATGTTTATCTTTCTCCAATGTTTCAGACTATAAATTTCGCATCACCCAACTCAGCTGGAGCAGTGTGCATTGACCCTGCCTGTACCTGGGTTGAACAATGGTACTTTTGCCTATTGATTCCATTAGTCGTCCTTTATTTTCATAGGCTCCAAAATGGAGAAAATATTGCTATAAGCTCCAGCTTAAGTTTTCATTAGGCTGCAACATTTTATGGTCTCCATTCAATGTCTGCATATTTCCCCTTTCTTTTGTTAGTTTTTTATCTAGTGACAATAATAACTTAAACTTGTTAGGGTTCACCGTGCTGGACCTCGGGAGAAGATTTACTTCAAACCTGAGGAAGTGAAGGCTGCTATTGTTACTTGTGGTGGATTATGTCCTGGGCTCAATGATGTCATCAGACAGGTCTGCACCACTTAAGATTTGTCTTCTCCATAGGAACTGACGAACTGTATAGATGCTTATTGTTGTGGTCTTAAAACTTCCACAAAAACAAAGAAGAGTTTGTCATCTCCTGCCTGAGAGTTATCACAAATGAGACATTGCTCGTTGTGCAAACTATCTAAGTATCATCATATAGAAAAAAAACTTTAGATTGGCTACTCGTATGGTTACTTTTGGCAGGTTGTCATTACACTTGAAATATATGGTGTTAAAAGTGTTGTGGCCTTAGAACTTCCACAGAAACAAAAAAGAGTTTGTCATTTCCTGCCTGAGTTTTATCACAAATGTGACATATGCTTGTTTTGCAAACTATCTAAGCATCATCATATAAAAAAAAAACTTCAGATTGGCTACTCATATGGTTACTTTTGGCAGGTTGTCATTACACTTGAAATATATGGTGTTAAAAGTATTGTGGGGATTCCTTTTGGTTATCGTGGATTTTCTGACAGCGACCTTAGTGAAATGCCAGTAAGTTTCATATTTCTGTGGCAGTTTTGTTTGCTTTGGTCAGTACACAATGGAACTGGAGATACCTCTCCTTCATTTTTTGTGAATCCTAAGGCCCAATCTATTCCTTTGATTATCAGCTGTCAAGGAAAGTGGTTCAGAATATCCATCTTTCTGGTGGAAGTTTGTTAGGAGTTTCACGTGGAGGTCCCAGTGTCAGTGACATCGTTGATAGGATGCAGGTACTAAACTTTCCTTTTCGATTGGAAACTATTTTGTAATTGTCTCTTGATATGCATACTAATTTCAAAAGTTTAGCATGCTCTTATGATACATTCTTTAACTTGATGTTATTAGGAAAAGGGAATCAACATGCTTTTTGTACTAGGTGGGAATGGTACACATGCTGGGGCCAACGCCATACATGAAGAGGTTGATAAGCTTACCTCTGATTTATTTCCTGTGCTACTTTGTCTTTTTATCCGATTCAGAGATGTGTTGATTATATGGCTTACGAGTGAGTTCAGCCTAGTTTCTCCTTTCTGAATGATCTTCTAGAAGGTAACTCTCTGAGAAACTGTTATGGCTTAATGCGAAACCCTGTGTCGAGCATAAAGGGTTGACCAATGGATATTTGGTCTGAGTTCCATGAGCAGACTGTTGTTTCCAGAATTGCCAGAAAATCTTGTTGATTTTGAGATGTAAACTACTGTTACTGAAGCTATCTGAAGTTGGTTCAGATTTTCCTATGACAGGATATTAAGGCATACTTAAAATCAGAACATTAAAGTAATCTAAATACGTGTCTGATACTAGAAGTGTTCATGTTAACGCGTTTATTTGTTAATTCTAACGTTCCTCCCAGTAAAGCTCTGAACTACTATAATTTAATAATTTCTAAATTTTTGTTTCCAGTGCCGTAATAGGAAGCTGAAGGTAGCCGTAGTTGGGGTGCCAAAGACCATAGATAATGACATTTTATTGATGGATAAAACTTTTGGATTTGATACTGCTGTAGAGGAAGCACAAAGAGCAATTAATTCTGCCTATATTGAGGTAATCAAACTCGATTTATTCATTTCTGCTTCTCACTTTTATTTTGGGTTGAACTTTACTGCTCTTTTTCCCCCTATGGCCTCTGTCCAATATTTATACATATCATCTTGCATCGTTATTCCCTCCAGGCTCACAGTGCTTATCATGGAGTTGGAATCGTGAAATTAATGGGACGTGACAGTGGTTTTATAGCTATGCATGCATCCCTTGCTAGTGGACAGATTGATATTTGCTTGATACCAGAGGTATGTGCCTCTTGTTGCAAGTCTACAGCCATATCTACCTTGTGTATGCATGAATATAATTGATATACGGTCTTGCGAAAAGGTACCATTTGAATTACATGGACCTCATGGTGTCTTGACACATCTCAAATACTTGATTGAGACAAAGGGATCAGCTGTGGTCTGTGTGGCAGAGGGAGCCGGACAGGTGAGTGTTACTGCAACATTTCTGTGTGCTGTGTAGAAGGTTTTCGATGCCCTGAGCAGTCCTTTTGATGAGGTTCCAATGTCACTTTCCTTGCCATTAAAACTATTGCTACTGCCTTTTCTAATCTGTCTAATAACTGGAGGACTGGTTACAGTTAGATGTAAAGAGATTGCTTAAATAGGTCTTGCATTGCACAGTTGATTTGCACACAATTCAATTGGGAATGTGATGTTTGTGAGAATGGAGAGCGGGTTTAATTGAGGATCTCTTATTTTCTTTGTTTTGACTACTCTTTGTGTTGCCTCTTTATCTAGAACTTGCTTCAGAAAACCAACGCTAAGGATGCCTCTGGAAACATTGTACTAGGTGACATTGGTGTACATATCCAACAAGAGGTCAGCTGTTGCTGGTTTCAGTCTTGCCTTCAGCTTGCACTGGCTTATTTGAAAGAGACAATTGTCCAAAGATGAAATGCTTGAAGAGTTGGTGTTAACGTACTTCCTTACTGCTCTTTCAGACGAAGAAGTATTTTAGGGAGATTGGCGTTCATGCCGATGTTAAGTACATAGATCCAACATACATGATTCGTGCATGTCGTGCAAATGCCTCAGATGGAATTCTATGCGCTGTTCTTGGACAAAATGCTGTAAGTTTTCCCTGATTCCCTTTCTCCTCTGAAAGTATTTCAAATTATTAGCTTAGGGGAAAGAACCGGTATCATTTCCGTTGATATATGTAACTCTAGTTGTTGTTATTGATAAAAAATGAAAGAAAATAACTCAAGAGTTGTTGTAGACATCCAACAGTGCATGTTATCTCATCTTGACCATGTTCGCATTTAATCTTGCTTGGTAGCCTAAAAATAGCTGCGATTAATGCTCATTGTCGCTTCTACTTGATATCTTAGATACGCGGTTCTTTGTGGCAGGTCCATGGCGCATTTGCAGGATACAGTGGGATCACAGTAGGCATATGCAACAACCATTACGTCTATTTCCCCATTCCGGAAGTCATCGCGTACCCGAGACCCGTAGATCCCAACAGCCGTATGTGGCATCGCTGCTTGACTTCGACTGGGCAGCCCGACTTCATCTAAGCTTCTAACTCTGGATTCATTCTTGACCTCTAGAACTAGAGGTGGCAAATGGATGGTGGATTGGTGGATTCATGGATCAAATGGGTTGGATCCAATGGATTGGTGGATTCATGGATTGGATCAAGTGGATTGGTGATTATCCATGAATTCAAATGACATCATCAACCAAAACCAATATGTAAAATGTGAAAAGTTTAGGTACTAAAATGTCATAATGAAAAATTTTAGGTACCAAAACCTAATTTTCCAATGATATTTTTTGTATAAAAAATTAAATTTTGGGTACCAAAATGTAAAATATAAAAAGTATAGGTACCAAATGTAATTTGTCATTTGGATCCATGAATCTATCAATCCAATTGGATTAGGTGGACATTTTTAATGGGTTGGTTGATTGGATTGGTGGATTAGATTGAGAATTGCCACCTCTATCTGGAACCATATCCAGTTTATCTAAAGAGGCATGGTAAAACATTGATTTATCTCCCCACCATTTCCATTTGTATAGCAATTTGGTGCTTAGTTCAGTTTTTGTCGTAGAGGCACGGACTACCGGCGTTTGAATGAAGTTATTTATAGGAGTCGCATGCACAGTCTAAGGATGGTGTGCTTGATTCCATGATTTTGATTCCATGATTTTTGTACTGAATCTTTATTCGTCGCCCTAAAATTTAAATTTTGTCGCCCTAAAACCCAACAAATTGACATATTTACCCTCAACCCAATTTCTATCCACCCAAACAATCTCCTATCTCTTCCCTACCTAAATTCGCCGCCAGCAACTACTCCCACCCCCACCCTCATCGACCGCCCACCCAAATCCCCTCCAACCCCAGACCCCAATCCTTCCCGCCGACCAAATTCCCTCCATAACCCAAATTCGACGCCCACCCCAATCACAAAGTTGTCATCGACCACAGGGAGAAAGATGAAGGCAGACGAAGCGGACGAGAATTCAGAATACTATTTGTCTCCTAAGTCCTACCGCCGTTGCTAATCGACCAGTGTCGCTGCCAGAAAGAAGACGACGACCAATGCCACGAGGATGATTTTTTTTATTATTATTATTATGTTGCCGCGGCGGACGTACCTGTCGCCGGCGACTTTTCAACCCGGTCACCGCTGTTGAAGACAAGTCGAATTGATTTAAAAAAAATTGCTATTGGAATTATTAATTAACTATTACAAATATACCAAGTTTGGTCTAAATTGCAAGTTTGGTCACTAGAATTACTTAAAAATTTCACGTTTGCCACTAAAATTAATTTATTCCATTCGTAGTCACTTAAATTGGGTTAACAGTTCAAGTTTGGTCACTGGCCGTTAGTCTCCGTTAACTTTTGCTGAAGTGGCGGTCAACTCTTATAATTGACCGTTAAATAAGTGACGTGGCAATTAAAAAATAATAAAATATAATTATTTTTTATTTTCCAGCTAATTATTATAAATTAAAAAAATTCTTAAAACTTTTAATTATTATTTTCCACCACCACATGCCGAATTGTTCTCCGTCCACCGCTCCTCCGTCGCCAGCAGAGCTTCTAAGTCGTCCACGGTTTCTGACGAGGATCTCCAAAATAGACGATGAAACTTTGTCTTAGTAGGGTTCTTACAGTGCAGTTGATCCACCATTACCTGGTTGTTTATTGAAGAACATGGAAGAATCAGCACAAGGGATAACAGAAATCCTGTAGTTAGGTTAGTATAAAGCCTTCACGAACAGAATGCTGCATGTTCCTGGAAAAAACAGAGCAACAAAAGCTCTGTTTCACAAAGACAATAACAGAGGTCGAATCAACATCAAAATTGAGATAGAGATAGGGAGCACGATATTTCCATGTCCTTTCGGTCTCTCTTGAATTTCCACAGAGAAGACGCCCTATTTGCTTGAATCAAACGCGCCTATTGCCAAAGTGCAGGAAACTGTTGACTACTTTTCTTTTTTCTTTTTCCCAATCTGATTAGCTGTTCAAGTGACAATGTAGTTGATGGGAAACCATCAATTGTATTGATCTCTCAACCTAATGTGTAGATAAAAGAAAAAAGATAGGATTTTTCATTTGAAAGTACTCTTGTGTTGTTCATCAGTATTAATTTAGCTTTGTTCATGTAGCAAGCAGAAGATTTCCGTTGCTTACAAAAGTTTGTCGGGTGTTCAACCCCACTTTCAATTTTTGCGTTCTACTGATTTCTTGGACCTTGGTTATGGAATGGTTATGTAGATGATTGTCAGAGCAAATCAAGTTGAATGTATCGTTATTGAAGTTGTCCTGAATCCGATGTTCGTCACGGTCTATCCACAGAAATGAAACAGCTAGAGACCACCGATGCAACCGATACTTGCGACCCATGGTCAACACCGATGAATCGCCTGCCACAAACATAATGATCTTAGGTGTAGGATGTTTTGAGGAGGAAGACGACCTAGAAGCTCTGTTGTCGACAGAGGAGCGGTGTACAGAGAACAATTCGGCATCCAGCTGCTGGCGGTGGAAAATAGTAACTAAAAGAATTAAGAATTTATTTTTTTAATTTATAATAATTAGCTGGAAAATAAAAAATAATTATATTTTATTATTTTTAATTGCCACGTCACTTATTTAATGGTCAACTATAAGAGTTGACTGCCACATCAACAAAAGTTAACGGAGACTAACGACCACTGACCAAATTTGAAATGTTAACCCAATTTAAGTGACTACGAATGGAATAAATTAATTTTAGTGCCAAACGTGAAATTTTTAAGTAATTCTAGTGACCAAACTTGCAATTTAGCCATTTTTGTAGTGAAGCCTCTAGGGCTAAAAAAATATCTGTTTTTTTTTGTTATGACAGATAGAGACCCAAAGAGAAAACATTTGTTGTGGCGGGTTTTGACTTCGGTAGAATTTGGTCATCCCAAATATGAAATGAAACCAAACTTTGTCCGATTTTCTTTCTGGGTGGATTAAAAAAAAGTTTATGTTTGATCACTAAAAATATTTAATATCATTCGTGATCAGCTAAATGATTTAAGTTTGGTGCTCTTCGTTTAATTTAGTTAGTTTTACTTATGTGGCAGTTAACTCTTATAGTTGACCGCTAAATGTATAACTTCGTAATTAAAAAAAAATAATTAAAAAAAAATTTCCACAACATATATCCAACTATTAAAAAATAAAAATAAACTTAAAGCTCCCTGTCGAATTTCTCCCTTCACCACTGTGGCAGTCGACGGGTTGGCTTTCAACCATTTCGTGAAATCGTGGGCTTCGATTCCAGGTCAGGAGGCTGGGACCTGAGCTGGATCAAGAAATCGCCAACGTGCCGCGATAGAGCGCTGATCGAGGAGAAAAGACTGCTCGAGGATTTGCTTCTGGAAACCATAGGAAGTAATCTGTTGCATTGGGATGAGGATTCCGACTCGCTTCTACCATCACTCTAGAAAATGGCCAAGTGTAACCACCTCCTAAAGCGTAGTATAGCGGGTTTGGGTTTTAATGTCAACCCGAGTCCTAAGTGTGATGACTACTCCGTGAGTTCTTATTATTTAGCTGTGAAACTTTAGCGAAGATCCAAACAAGCAAACAAGTTAAAAGGTTGTTTTCAAGTCGAGAGAGGTCACCCGGATATGGTTCCCCATAGACTGCAGTTAAGCCGGATTGTAGGGGTCGTTTGCTTGTTGGATTTGAAAAATGAGGGTTTTGGCTAAAAAAACCTATAGATTTATGAGGGATTTGTACCATTATGGATTTGAAGAGTCTATTGTTTGCATGATAGATTTGATGATATAATTATGATGGATTTGCTATAAATATAACTAGCCATCAAGGATTTACAAATCCCATCCCATTATGTGGGATTTACAAGTCCGTGGGGTCCACGGATTTGGATCCAAAAAAGGGAACAAATCCGTGGACCCCACGGATTTAACACCTGACAACAAACAATGGACTTGGCTAAAATCCATCATGCTTCGGATTTGAGTCCCAAATCCATGACCCAAATCCATCAAGCAAACGACCCCGTAATTTACCAAGTTCAAGTTCAATGATAGTTATACCGCGGGAGGTTCTTAAACAGTCTGCAGTCTCGACTAAAGGTCTCCAGACCCTCTCAATCTGAGTCCCCAGCGGGCGACTAACCTCCACCGGAGTAAACAGATTGAGGCCCTAACGAACCAAACCTCCACTACCGAAGTAAATTCGGTATAGAATAGTGAATTGACTCCTCGACTAAAGTCGTCAATTCACTACCTTCAATCAATGGTGCTCTATCAACCTAGGTAGATATTCTCCTTCTAGGTTAAAGCAGAAACAACAGGAATTTGATCAGGATTCATGCCATTCAACAAATCAGACCTCAATTGAACATAATCATACCACTGAATCTGTACTTGGGTTCATACAATCAGACCTAACATACAAATCTAGGGTTCTTCATACCCAGGTGAAAGAGAAAGTTATTCCGTAGAGAGAGATGGAAAATCTAGCTCAGATGCGGAAACCATACTGTGAAGGATGAGAATATGCTTCTGGCACTCAATCAGCTCTTCTCCAAGCTCAAGCCGGGCTCCAATGGTGATGGAGATCGATCAAGGACACTTGCAGAATCAGGTTCATCACTTTCTCTCTCTAGGTATCGCTTTTTCTCTCTAAAACTCGGAACCTTTCTCTTTTGCCCTTCTTTTCCCTTAAGAGGCTGTCTGTCGCGATCCCCGGCCTGAATACCTGGTCGGGTATTTTAGGTGGAGACCGGGTATTATCAAAACACACCGTCGAGGTAGGGGAAAATCCCCGTTCAAGGCCAAGAATACCCGACCGGGGATTTCTGCTTACTGCCCGGGCCCCCTTCTGCTTCTTAGACGCCCAAAACACATTTTCCCCGGTCTGCTCCAAATAATACCCGACCGGGTATTTCTGCTCATGGACGGGTATTTTGCTCCTCCAACACACTTCAAACCAAACGTGCTCCTTTCGACCCGAATCTCGTTTCTTCGCCTCGATGCCAATGCTAAGCCCTGAAATATGACATAAACGCACAACCTAGCGTGAAATCGACTTAAAACACGAGAATCGACATCTCAAACGGCTCAAGAATAGGCGTAAAAACATGTGCAATCAATGGTCTATCAGATTCTCGCAAACATATGCTCGTAGGCAAGGTCCACGCGACGTTCAGGATTGACACGCGAACATATTTGCAGGATGAAAGCTTCTTTCGCCAGCCACGATGGCAGCAAACAATCGACGTTGGGATCAACCAGGTTCTTGGCCTTTCAGTTAGTTGGAAATTTTTCAAATTTGTTAAACCTGTTGTGTCTGATCTGTAGCCACTTACAAGGATATGAAATTGTCACGAAAGTTTCGGAAGTTGTCTCATGACTGTGGGTCTTGCTATGCTTTTGTCTAGCTAAGATTGTGTATTCACCTAATCATGTCGATGGTTGAGAGAGATAGTTTCGATATGAATTTTCATCAGAGCTTGTATTATGCAACAGAAAGAAGTGGCAATTGCAGGGGGATACATTGGGACAGAGAAATCCTCCCATACATATAAGCAGTGGCGGAGCCACATGTAGAGGAGAGGGGTCCTAGGACACCACTTGGAAAAAAAGTGTCAATAAAACCCTTTAGATATGTAGGGTTTAGTATGATTCTTTGCATTTAGGACCCCATACTTTTGTTGATATTAGCTTATCTAAGGACACCAATCAACTCAAAGTTCATTAAATACACAGACAAAAACGTTTTAAAATTTTTAAGGACCCAAGTCAAGTCAAAGTCTGGCTACGCCACTGCATATAAGCACATTCTCATTCTGTACCTACACGATTCAATATTTTATGGGCTCCCCACAAAGCAAGGAAGGAGTTTCGAGTCTTTTTGCATCTTAATTATCGCTGATATCACTTGAGCTGGGCCACTTGGGCTTTTCGTTTTCTTTTCCCGCAGCCCACTAGGCACTGGCTACAGACTAGCTGTCTTTATAATCTCATAATCCCCCCTTCTTAGAAAAAGAAAATTCCTATAATCCTTCATTGGATAGCCATTACATAGTTAAATATTTCGTTTAATACACGTATATGTGCCTGTATGTACTTTATTCGTTTCAAATTTCTGTATCCGTATTATGGTCAAGTCGTTTCGTTTTTGTCCGTTCATTTGATGGCTCCCGTATTAAACACGTATAAAACTCGTATAACACATTTAATATTCGTATTTAATGAATTACTTTATTAAATTTACTATTATTTATTTATTTTTAAAATAATTAATATTATATATTGATGACTATTAACGTACTATTAAACGTAACATTAGCATAGAGACGAAATAAAATACTCGTACGTATTTTATACGTAACTTTCACGTACCGTATTTTGCTAACTATGCCATTAGTAATGGTTTTACTAATGAATTATGATAAGTTTGGTGTTTTAATAATAAAAAGGTTATAGGTGTGATTCGGTATCAATATGTACGAAATTTTATACATTAATTTAATATTCAAATTAAATTAAAGTGACGAGAATGATAAAAAAATACACGTCTTTATTTTCATTCAAATAAACCTTGTCATAACTAATAAAGAATTGCAACGCAAAAAGTGGATAGACTCTAATAATTACAACATCCAAATAAAGAATTTCATCAACTGCCTCAAGCTTTCACTTCTCTATTTTCTAATGCAATATTTTATTAATAAAAATATATAAGTACTACGTAGAGGATACATTCATAACAACATAAATTATTAAATTTTGCATCCATTATTCTATAGATCCATGCAAGTTTCACTGAATGTAGCTACCTAAGTTGACCTGAAAAATAAGCAAAAATGTCCACTACTCGATAAGAAAAGGTTGCATGCAGACTTAAAGATCTCTATGCACAACTCACACCATAAGAATCAGTAGCAAAAAGATTTTCAAATCCAAAAGAGAACTGTAAAATTTCATCAAATACCCGCCTATGCAAATTCCTGTAATTTAAGGAGGAGCAATTTCATACAAGTAAACTAGATGTGCCAATCAGCTAGATCAATTCCACTTGAATAGTAATCAAGTAATCAAACTATGCATTGTGTAAGATGATATTATGTCCATACTATTTCTAAGCAAAAAATAGATAACAGTCGAAGCATATCTGAAATGCTCCTAGCATATTGAAGGCAAACCATAACTTTAATATATGGTCATTATAATAGCCTTCAAGTATTGATGACTCTGAGAATTATCATGCCCAACCCCCCACTTATACAACTACGTAGCCATAGTAGTTAGTTGTATAATGATGAAATGTTACAAAGAAAATTACATAAACAACCAATGTAAGTAAATATTGAAACTAACAACTGATAAAATTTAAAAGCTCTCTATTGATTTTAATGTACCTCTTAGTAACAACTATGCAATCGAGTATAGATTATTTTTAGGCGTTGAATAAGAAAAGTATAGATGGCTCACAAATGAAGACCCAACAGCTGAAGTAGCACACAAAAACCAAAAATAGAAAAACACATAAGGAAAGAAGGCGAGAAATAATCAAACAATAGAAAAGCCCACATAGGAATACCTTGCTAGCACTAGGGACTCTCTGTCACAACAAACTATCCTTTAAAATCTAAAACCTGAGACATTAAACACTAAACAAACCTCCCACGACATTAATGTATGGCATGCCTATTTTCCAGCAGGTTTGTCCTATTCAAAATGAAATTCAAGCATTGGATTACTTCTAAATAAATGGACTTTTCACCATTAAACCAAAACTCACAATCATTAATAGTTAGTGCAAAAATATATATTTCTTAGGCCAATCACAACATTTAAGCACAACTTTTAGTTGAAAAGAGTAGTTGAGCATTTAACTAAAAGATATAGTAGAATATATACAATATGCTTCCTACTAATAATATAAACGTATATCGATACCATCGTTATATCCTGACTTGCCATTTGCAATGAGTTGCTTTGAAATACCGCTGCATTTTAGAGAATAAACACCCATAAGGGCATTACGAAACCAACCTTAATCCAAAATCTTCATATTCCACTTCGAAGGTTCCATTTTCAAAAATTAGAGAATTTAAAATGTTAAATCACTCATTTGAAAAATCTCAAATCACTATTAATCAATGCAATATAAAGGCATGCTCCAAATTATGTACTTGTTGGAATAATCTCAAATCATTATCAATTAATGCCCCCAACTACCTGATATGCAAAGTAGCTCTGGAGCTATAGTGTTGTTTGCGTTGGTCTACCTTCAAACATAGTCGCATCAAGAACCAAAGCAATTAAGCAAACAATCTTCAAATTCAAAATTTAAAGACTCAATTCAATTTGCCCAGCGTTTTATACATATCGGTTACCCCTGGACCTATTGCACTTGTTGTCTTCAAATCTTCGTGAACACAATACTATTGAGGAGGGAGGCTTTCAATGGAGTGGAGTGTGTTAGTTAAGTGAATCACCATACATCTGAACAAATGGGGTCTTCTTGCTTAGCTATCAGAACAGTGAGGGTAGCTGCAATTCGTTGGTTGCTCCCTCTACGCATTCTAGTTAGAATCTTTGGCCTAAGTTGTAGAGATTAGGGTTCGGTGAGAACTTTGGGTACAGGAGGAGAGTAGGTTCGTGGGGGAGGAGATGACATGGCGAGTAGAATTGGAGCTTTGGCAAGGCTGCGATGAGTTCACGATCATGGACCAAATCACAGTTTCAGCTCGTTTAAATCGAAACATGTTTTTAATTTCGTACTTGACAGACTGGCCGCACTGGTGCCTTTTAAATTTAGCCCTAAAAAATTGCTCTAGATGCAACAAATTTAAAATAGGATCCCCCATTTCTCATTTCACCTTTATATTATGTGTAGATTGAGATGAGTGATGAGTGTAGATGTAGATAGGGGTGGGAATCGGTAAGATATCAGTATCCCAATACCAGAATCCCGAATACCGAATTACACCCTAAAGTCAATCTCAATCCCAATCCCAAAATAATTTCGGTATCCCAATCCCAATCCCTAAATATTTCGGTATCCCAATCGGTACTTCGGTATCCCAATTGGTATTATCGAATAAGAAATTAATTACCTTTGCAATTAATAATTAAATATATAAATTAGATTTTATTGTTTAATTTAGGGGAAAATACTAAGCAAAGAGTTTTGAATTAGGATATTATTAAGGAGAGTGGAGGAGTGGATACATCTCAAGTTCTTGTCATTGATAATCTTTAATTTGACGAATTGGAGGTTGAGAGACGACTATTAATAGTGATGGAATGATCATTGTATAATTAAATGACACTTTTGGTGGTTGAGGGTCATGTAGTAGTAAATGAGAGAGTCTAGTAAATGACACTTTTGGTATTGATCGGTATTTCGGTATATCCCAGTCTCAATCCCGTAATCCCTAATACCGAATAACAATTGAACTCAATCCCAATCCCAAGAAATAATACGTGTATTCGGTAATACCAAATATATACAAATTCGGTACGGTATTCGGTATATCCCAAATACCGGTACCAAACTTCCAGCCCTAGATGTAGACATGTCATTGCCCTATAAATTCATTAACTTGCCAAAAAGTGGTGAAATGAGCCACCAAATTAAACCAAATCTCGTAAAATGATCGTTGGATCCAATCATGCCAGATTCGGAAGAGGTTTACAACGTAGAGGTTAACATGACTAAACCGTTCAGAGAACCAGTCTCATAGAGTTTGCACAAAGATATGATTGCTTTATAGTAGTTTCGAAAACTAATACTAATTTAAGATTCGACATTGTTTCTACATATTTATTATTGCAATTCGATATGCAATATTCGAACTAGTGAGATTTGGGCGGCAATTTTAGGGTTATCATATATTTATAGGATAGATAGAAATTTAAATTTAGTATTAAACTACAACTAAAATAATCAAAATATGAAAATCGAAGTATCAAAAGATCAAATAAGTACTTACGGGAGATTCGACAGCCACCTAATCGTTGAAAAAGTTATATTAAGTTTGGATTTTATGTTCGTGTATTTTTTAATATAAAAAGATACAACAAATATATTTAGTGTGATTGCTTATGATCCTTGCTTGTCTTTAGAGTGAGTATGGTTCAATTCCAATGTGTCTTTTTTATGAATAAATAAAAAAATAAGTAATTATGAAAAATAAAATGTTCATTCTATTTTCACTCCCCGAAATTTTGATGCATAATAATAAAAAAGTTGTTATTATATTATCATATTATGGGTAGATTAATAAAAAATATAAAAATTGAATCCATTCATGTAAATAAATAATAATAAAAAAAAACGTTTCCTAATCACTGTCCAACTGGTTTTGCGGGTAGTTCCCTAGTCGCAGTAGAATGCTCAGAGCATACACGCTCTCCCAAGCTCCGTTTTATTTGTACACGAATTGCGAACCAAATCCTTCAGCAGCTACTCTCCATCCACAGAAGTTCAAATCAACCCGTTCTCTCCCTCACTCTCCAATTCCTCTCAACTGATTTCGTCGCCCGCACTTTGACCTCTTTCTCCTCTCCTTCAATGGCGTCGGCGCCGGCAGCAGCCCTAACCCGAGACCAGTACGTCTACTTGGCGAAGCTCGCAGAGCAAGCCGAGCGCTACGAGGAGATGGTGAGCTTCATGGAGAAGCTCGTCACGTCCTCCACCCCGGCCTCCGAGCTCTCTGTCGAGGAGCGGAATCTTCTCTCCGTCGCTTACAAGAACGTGATTGGCTCCCTCCGCGCTGCCTGGCGTATCGTGTCTTCGATTGAGCAGAAAGAGGAAGGCAGGAGGAATGATGAGCACGTTGGGCTCGTTAAGGAGTACAGATCCAAAATCGAGACCGAGCTTTCGGCCGTCTGCGCCGGGATTCTGACTATTCTCGACTCCAATTTGGTTCCCTCCGCCGTTGGGAGCGAATCCAAGGTCTTCTACTTGAAGATGAAGGGGGACTACCATCGCTACATGGCGGAGTTCAAAGTTGGAGATGAGAGGAAATCTGCTGCTGAGGATACTATGATGGCTTACAAGGCTGCTCAGGTAAAACTGATTCCATCAGCTTCTTTTGTTCATTATAATTTCGGATTGATTTGTTTCAAGTTTACAGTGTCCGGCAAAATTTGAGATCCAATTGGATTACCCGCTACCGCCGATTAGCAATTCGATTTGAATCTCCATATGCCAGGATTCCATGGTTGGTCTGCGAGCGTAATTATAGTGATTTCGACATGTGGATTTGGGTTGAGAACGCTGTCCACTGTAGTTGTTTTGCTTTGATCTAATTGCTCAATGAAGTATTTGTCAACAGTCATTCTCACTTACTGCTTAATTTTGCTTGTCTGAAGGATATTGCTTTAGCTGATCTTGCTCCAACCCACCCTATAAGACTAGGGCTAGCGCTCAACTTCTCGGTGTTCTACTACGAGATCCTCAATTCATCAGAGAAAGCTTGTACCATGGCCAAACAGGTTTGCCCAAGATCACTATTCTTATTTAAAAGTTCTGCCATGTGGTTCGTAAATGCTTGGTCAGCCATGTTTCTTCTCTTTTTAAGATAGTCAATGGTCTTCTGTCGCTTTACGTCTTCACTGTGTTCTTTATATATACACTTGTTGAGTGATGTATGCATACAAAATGGCGTGTGAAAGTCTTGTACTTCACTGAATTATGTTCTACTAGGTGGCTGAAAAGCACAAACTTGCAGTCGCCTGAACTAGATGTCTATCTTATTCCCGTTTCCACCAAAGTTCGACTAGGATGGAAGGTAGTCAAAGATATACAGTGATAGTAACTTTGTTGAAAGTTTGAAGGGTCCAAGTAAAGATAACCGACGTGGACCAGCAAACAGAGCTATCCATGCCGTATTAACTCTACCTGCTTCATCAATGTTGTAAATAAATCAAATTAAGCACAGAGTGCCTGTTAGGTTTTATCATATAGAAAGGGAAGCGATTTCCAATATAAATGGGTGGAAAAGAGTTTCCCCCTTTCCCCAATCAAAATTAAATCGTAACAGTTGAGCATAATCTTGTATGCTTAAGTTTATGTGCTTGTCTTTTTTAGTGTCACTGATGAAAACGAGAAATGGCGTGTGCACTTGACTCTGGTTGAGTGGTGTTGAAAAAAGAAAGAAAGGTGAAAAGGTAGGTGTTTTCTAGTGTGTCTATATTCAAGGGGTGATGTCATCTGTTAAAGATTCTATGATATGGTTTGAGGATTCACATCCCCGATGGTTGGTGCTTGGTAAATCAGTGCTGTTAGGGTGATGTCATCTGTTAAAGGGGAGAGTATGTTGTTTTTTGGCCTAATTCATAGGAATTAAGGACTTCTTGCCTCCTTTATGACGTCTAGAAAATGTTGATACAGATTAATTCATGGGGAACTGTATCTATAAAGAGGGATATTCATTACGTAGCTGAGTTCTTTGAAAGTGTATTTTAATTTTGAACTTGCTAAATATTGTTTGCCTGTTGTTTCTTTGGATGGATTTGATTTGAGATATGGTTTTGTTTACTTAGTAAGAGTGGATTTGAAGTGGTTAGTTGACTTTTTATTTGAAGTCATCCCTAGAATAAATGTTTCATGCTCACTAAAGGTTGTTATCTATAAAATTTATTACTTGTGCATGTTAAATCTGTTTGTATGAATTCATACTGAGTCGATCTCTCTTTTTTTCTTCTTGTGGCGAAGATACCTGCTTTGCCTTTCCCATCTTACTGACATTAGTTACAATTATGGGACCGTTTGTGGACTTTAAATTGACAGTGTATCACAGGGAGCTAATAACTGTCACTTATTTTTTGTACTAGAATGCCAGAACAGATGAGGAACTACTAATATCAACATAGCTGCCTGGTTTCTTAGTGTGTGTTTTTATCTATGTGGTTTAGATTCCCAACGATGCAAAGACAGCGGAGGGGAACTTATTTCTTCATGATCTTGCTTGGTGTCCTGTTGTATCTAGCTGTAGTCTTTATTTTATAGGGAACTAGTATTGTTTTGACCTGCTTTTTGATCTCCAGGCTTTTGAGGAAGCAATTGCTGAACTGGATTCATTGGGTGAGGAATCTTACAAGGACAGCACTCTCATTATGCAACTGCTCCGAGATAACCTCACTCTCTGGACTTCAGATATGCAGGTTAGTGCTCTTACTTTTAGTTAGGGTGTAGATATATGGTATGTAAAAAACTGCGTGCTATACCCATGACACAAAATTGATTATGAGCCTCCATAGATTAGCATTACCAAGCTGCTTCCGTGTTGGGCATTATTTGTGCAGGAGCAGATAGATGAGGCATAGACTGAACCAGATTGTTTTCGCTATTGGGGTGATTGGTGGGGCAAGAAAGACAATGGCCTGTATACTTTCTCAAGTATAACTTATATGTGTTTCCTAGTTGTTCTGTCAACTGCATATATCTCTCTCCGTTTGCTCTAGAGGTACTCATATGGTGAGAAACTCCCTTTGCGTCTCTCTTACGAATAGAGTTTGGATTCCCAGTTGATCGATCGATTGACTGAGTTTCGCTTTTATGACTGTAATTTCTTGTGTTTTCTGCTCTTCCGTAATGTTTCTGCGTGCGCCTGTTGTCGTGTGAACCCTTGGTTATTCCTATGAGGTGATCGTGCATACTCGTTAAGCAACAGTGGGGTGAAGCTACCTGCCTTCTAGTGACTAGCTTTCCTTCTTTAGTTAGGACTAGGAGCCACTAGACAACGTTCACAGTTATTAGGGCTGAAAGTGGGATTGTTTTCAATCAATCAACTCAGGTCCTCCCACTTCATCACTTTATCCTGACTTTGCTGGGTTTGGGTTAAGCTGTGACGGGTGACAGTGTGAATGCCCAAGCAATCCCTCCACACATTTCTCCGTTATCTCGCGGGGCGAAACGAACAAGTTCGATTTTCTTCCGGCACCGCAGTGTCTTGATCTCGGACACTCGTTAAGAAAAGCTTCCTCCGGGCTCCGGCTACTGATTCTTGAGCCATGCGAGGATGATAAGGGGAGCCTCCAAATTTCTTCGAAGGCTCAAAATTGAGTTAAAATCCCCTTAAAAATTCCAAGGAGATTCCATTTTTCCGCGATGGACGTCATAGAATTCCACAACTCCCGTCTTTGTTATAAGTGTCGTCGGATTGTCATATACTGCGGTAAGATACAAGTTATACTGCCCCATTTGAACTTGAGCATGCGGAAGCTGGCTAACCTGGGAGGTCTTAGTGGTTGAGAGCACCCCCCCTCCCCGCAAACCCATTGTAACTAGGTACTCTGGTTTTGTTAATAGTTAAATTGATTTTGTTAATAGTTAAATTGATGTATTGTTATCAATGCATGCATAATAATATTAATATATATATATATATAAGAAAATTGGTGTATTGTAGTTTACGTCGTTTGATTTATGTGATAGTTATTGTGATATTTAAATAAGGTATATTACTTTTTTGATGAAATGTCACTTTTATCCTTATTTTTAATATAAAAAACAACATACATAAAAAGATAGGGACATAGTTGGAGGAAAGAAAACTACAACAATCTCAATGAAACAATCTGAACAATCTCACAAAAAACTTGAGATTTAACTATCACTCATTTTTAGTTATAGTCAGGGGCGAAGCCAGGAATTCAAGTCACGGGGGGCCAAATTTTTTTTTCAAGCAAAAGAATACTATAAGAAAATATCATATATAATTTATTAGTTTAAACGTACACAACATCTTTGAAATTATCACATCACTCAAAATACCATATATGTGGAAAGTGTCTATTACATCTCGTTCAATATAAATAACAAGACCATCAGCGAGAAAATTATCAATCATTTGTTGCATTGTTTAGTCACTAATTGCATGATAGAAAAAGTCTGTTCACCACTAGCAATAGAAATTAGAAGAGTCAAAGCAAGACTAATAATCTAAAGGAGAACACTTTATTACAAGATCGCATATCACACAAGACGGACATACTAAGTTAGTTGATAATTCAATAAATAATAATTGAACAATAAAAAAAAAAAGAACACTTTATTACAAGATCGCATATCACACAAGACGGACATACTAAGTTAGTTGATAATTCAATAAATAATAATTGAACAATAAAAAAAATAAAACATTTGTCTAAATTTAGTCCAAAGTGGAACTAAAGTGGAAAACTGGAATTATAGATAGTGAAATATGTACATATATTGAGATTTTAGTAAGAGTACACAAGTACACAAGCTAGAAAACATCAATAAAGGATAATATTATTAAAATATAGTCAGCCATAGAACCCGAACTACTGACTCCTTATATGAACATGACAGCTTCCACCACTAGACCATAACTAGATTTGTGTCTTACTCATACCACTACATTACATTATTCGTGTCCCTGAAATTCTCGGGGGGCCGTACTGCACTGGCTCCGCCCCTGGTTATAGTTTGTGTCACATCAAACAAACAATGCATATATTTTTTGTTAAATTCAGAAAAAACAATGCATTCTGGACAATACATATAACTATACAAACCAAACTATCACCAAAACCAAATGACCCCTTAAGGATCCTTTCGTTTATTAATCTCTTAAATGATAAAAACCTTTTTCCCTAATATATGACTAATGCAATAACTGTTTGGAATATCTCTTAAATGCAATAACCTTACACATGTTGATCGAGAACCTTCGTATGGAAAATCTCTTATTCTCTTTCATTGTCTATCGGATGCCTCATATAGGATTGGAGGTACCATTTAATTCGTGGGTTCCTGTTGCTGCTGTTCCAGCTCCATCGATTCAACTTATGGCTGAACTTCTTCTCTTGTAGTTTGCCGGTTATGATTGTTTTTAGGGTTGGGAAACGGGTATTTGGGTATAGCATTACCCGTCTCATTTTTAAAAGTTTATGGGTACCCATAATACTTGTAATATTTAGGCAAAATACACTTGTATAATCAAAACTTTCGCGTTTGTGCCAACTGCCAATAATAGCCAATTTTGGAGAAATACGACTTATAGCCAGAATTTAGAAACTTTTGTGCCAAATATAGCTATTTCCATTACAAACTTTAACTTTGTTAGAGATTCCGTAAGTTAGTTTAACGTTAGGCTGACTAGGACGCCAAATCATCGCACACGTCAGCGACAAATCAGCCACATTCGCCACGTAGGTGACACATCATATTTTTAATTTAAAAACAAATGATAAATTCATATATTAATCAAAAAGAAAGGAAAATTTCACCAAAAAAACAAAGAAAAGAAAATCGTTTCTTCCCTATCACAAACCACTCCCCTCACAATCGAAATACACACCTTCCTCTACCTCTCCTCCGCTGCCACCAGTCCTCACCGGACTCCACCCAAGTTCTTGAATCTCGACACCCCCTACAACGCTGATACCGCTTGTTTGTCCGCGGGCGAGTCAAAAATCTCCCTCGAATAGTTGACCGCATTAGCACTTACAGATTGGGCCCCGCTCAATTGAAAAACCATTGTGGCACCATGCTTCTATCGACCTTTTGAGTCTGACCAGCAGCTAGCCAATCAGAGAAGCACTCCTCCGTGCTTTGTCTCTAGTTGCTCACGCCGCTGCTTGTGGTTGGCGGACGAAATTCGATTTCGTCCATGATGGCGAACGACGAGATTGGCCAATTCAGTGAGAGCGAAAACCAATTGGAGATCCGTCATTTTGCTTTCAGTTCGTCAATTTGTTCACTGTTCTACTTCTGAGTTCGTCTGCTGCTGCTCTATTTGAGACTGCCACTCCCCGTCGTCGGCTTCTTATTCCCAAGTGTTCCAGCATCAATAGATCTCCACTCCCACAGAAACTCCTTGCGCCGCTCCCACAGCTACGAAGACCAGCTATGTCGAACACAAGTGTTCTGGCGTCAATCAATCTCCACTCCCGCTTGGGTTTCCGTCGGAGAGGAGGGCATTGTGGTTGGGCAACCCCGGGAGCAAAGCGGGAAGTGGTGTCGGGGGGGAATCAGCGGTGGTAGTGGTTTGGAAAATTAGGGATTCGAAGAGATAGAAGGGGAAAGTGAAAAGGGAGGGATGGGGTTTGAGTTCCTTTTTATTTTTTATTTTTTAAATTAATCCAGCGTTGAATTGTCAAGAGAGAAACTTGCCAACTCGGGCTTTCCGTTTGTCCAGTCAGCCTATTGGTTAACATCGTTAAAGAATTGGACGGAAGTGGTTATAATTGGTATTTCGCCAAAAGTGGTTATAAGTGGCATAAACGTGAAAATTTTGCCTACACAAGTGTATTTTGCCTAATATTTATACGGATGAGACTTGGGATTGTAAATTCTTACATTAGATACCCGTGGCCCGCGGTTTACGCACAAATCCTGTTTGGATAGTATAAGTACCCGTAACACCCATTAGCATAAATAATAATTATGAATTTATTAACATTTATCATTCTAACTTTCTCTATTTCTCACTAGTAGTAGTCAAGCATTACAATTTTTTGGTGTGAATCTGTAATTTCTTATACAAAGCCCAAATGTGAGCAGCTGCCCAAGGCTGGCCTTAAAGCCTTCAGGGCCAATTCTTTTAATTTAGGGTTATATGTATAATATACCCCTCTATTATGCAGTTTTATCAAACATGCCCCTCTATTATTTTTTACATCAAACATGCCTTTATACTTTGAAAAAATTATAAAACATGCCCTTATATTAAAATTTCCATTAATAATGGTCAACCACGGTTGAACCGAGATTCACACGACCCCGACATCGAAAAAATTGGGGGTGAAATGTCAATTTTTCCTCATTTGTTTCTCCAGGTCTCGTTAAAGTGAAATTATCAGAGGTATTTGGCTGTACAAAAGAAACAAAACAATTCTAAAGTGAAATTATTAGGAATATTTTAGACATAGGTGTCGCACAAACCAAGGTTCGACCATGGTTGATGGTTTTTTTATGCAAATTTTAACAGAAGGGCATGTTTGATCGTTTTTACAAACTATAGGGGCATGTTTGATGTAAAAAATAGTAGAGGGGCATGTTTGATAAAATTGCATAGTAGAAGGGCATATTATACCTATAACCCATTTAATATAAGTATAATCTAAACTTGTTTGTGTTTCGGTGTTTGTCTGTGTACTTTTTTTTTTACAGAAGATTGATCGTTTCATTAATAAGAAACATGGTGTACAGAGTTGATACAACACTGAGAGGAAGAAAAAACCTACTAAATAAGAATTCCAAAACATAAGCTTACAATAGCCCAAAAACCCAGCAGGCCCAAAGCCTAGTCTAAACAAGTAGACCCGAAAGCCCACCTAGGAACCCTAATTCAGCAGCAGGCCCAAGGAGTGGTGGCCTCCTTTTGCATCCTCCACCCCTTAACCTTGCCGCCGCAAGCTTTTGCCGGAACAGACCTTCATCGCCAGGGAAAAAGCACTAAAAATGACGGAATGACGCCGACGAGAAGAAGAACAGCTGCAAGAACGGTCGGGAGGACCAAACCCAGAGCGGCTCCAAGATTCACCTGCATCAACAAATAAACCAAAGGTGCAGCCGCAGAACATTGACAGAGAAGTGACGCTTGAACCACCACTAATCAGAGCAAAACGGCAATAACCCACCAAAAACAAGATTTTCCTGCTCACAAGCTCCCCGAAAATCTCTTCGAGACAACAATGGCCCATGCATCTCCGAATTATCCCCAGATTTGAATGAAACAAAAAGAGGTAGATAGAAGAACCGAAGATTCGGCTCCCTCAAACACCAACTAGTGGGCCGTCCACACAAGAACTGGGAACCAGCAAGGTGGGGAGCAAAATCATTCTCAGCAAGGAGAGGATATAAATCATCACCACAAGGGTGGACGAAAAGCCAAACAGAAAAAACACGATCAGCGAAGAAACAAGAACTGAAAAATCAAAAGACAAAAACAAAGAGAAGGGAAGGGAAAAGCTACAAAGATGATGGAAAAAAAAGACTTAAGGGCCACCGCCGGTTTCAGAGGAAGCCGACGGCAGCCCACTAGAATTCAAAATTAGTTGCTAGAGAGAAGGGAGAGAAAAGGTAAAGTTAGAGAGAGAAGGGAGAAGTGGGAAAAAGATTGTTGTTTGTCTGTGTACTTTACAATGCAGTCAAAATCGGGATTTTGATCGTAAAATCGTAGGATTTTAGGATTTTATTTAGGGATTCCGATCCTGATTTTACTATAAAATCGGTGGATCTTAAAATCGTTCAATATCAGTATTAAAATCGTTACAATCGTAAAATTGTACCAAAATCGGGATTTTGATCATATGTAAACAAAATAGGCAGTTTGAGACAATTCAAAAGAAGTGGAACTATTTCGGTGGAAAGGGCAATGACGGCTATCTTATCATATATTTTTCCTATTAAAAGAACATTTGAAAAGGAAAAAAAACTGAATTAGGGTTCGGTCAATCCCTTTCCCTTCTCCTTGTTTAACTAATTGGTAAAATAGTTGTCATAATATTGTAAGTATGAAAGAATTAACATCATCATTAACAAATTAATTGATTAATGAATATATTTGTACCAAACCAATGACATTAAAATTCTTATTGGAGTTCACTTATTCTTAGTTTTAATTCATGCTTAATAGACGATGTCAGAATACTACTTTGAATTCAACTACATACACACAACATTAAAAACAAGAGCAAACCCCATGAGCTCTATCCATTCCTCATAAATTACTTTGAGTTACACATTAAATAGCAATTAAAATGATGATTTTGGAATATTAATCTTGAAAATTATCACTTTAAATGTTATAACTTATATGTCTTTGTGTTATAAATGATTTACCTTATTAATATTATTATATGTTAATTTCTATGTGGTACTTAAAATCCTACGATTTTACGATTCCGATTTTACCCCAGTTTTCGATTTTAGTTAAAATCCTGATTTTGACTGCTTTGATACTCTATGTAACTTGTTATTCAGTAGTTACAGTTTCAACAGGTGCCACAGTTACAATTCAGGACGCGCAAGTTGCCGAGTTTCAACTTTTGTTAAAATTAAAATGATTAAATCCTTGAGTATTTATGAGTAGATTGGGTATCCGTTATGTGTCCCGTATGGATAATGAGTATATGTTAACCCATACAGGTTTGAGACATGAGATGAATTTTACACTTCAAATAAGAATGAGTACTCCTTTTAAACAAGACGGGTACCCTTTGCCCGTCCCTAATCATTCCTCCCCTTATGTTCACCACTTTCTTGAAGAAACAAGGCGCCAACCGTTAATCAATTAGTCGGAAGCAGTTTGTCACTAATCGTTGTACTATAATCGACTAACCGGTTAAATCGGTAAGCGTTCGATTACCACCACTACAATTATTGCTTTTCACCTAAAAAGGAGGTTATTGCACCTTGCTATTTTAAAGCTAATTGGGCCTTCGGTTGGTTTCGCTTGGGCTCAGGTCCTGATGGCCTATCAGAGTCTCAAGCTTGGAGAAAAAGCTGTGGTGTACCGTTGATCTGGGATGGACAGGGGAGAGATGAGATTTTTTCAAAATACACACATTATAAATTAAAATCCAATCTACACATGTTTGTGTATCACCGCGGCCGTCAATCATGGTGAAGGCGTGATATAAGACTGAAACTTTGAACGAATGTAACTTTGTTTTCGGTTATTCAATCGTAGCGAAAGTTGTTTTATTCTGCATAATTTTTCGAGATCTTTCAACCTAAACGAAGTTTGGTCCCTCTTTCATCTCGAAGAAACGTCTTTGCTACCCCGAACATGCAAATTCTCAAAATTTCCAAACTTTGCAAAGTCATAACTTTGTGCTCCGCAATCTGAATGTTACAAAATGTTTTTGATTTTGCATAATTTTTAAGGACTACAACTTTTATAATACCCATAATTTCAGAATGTATGTGGATTTGTGAAAGTTAAAGGCAAAGTTATTCCCAAAGCCTCGTATATGCAAAAAAAAATTCTTGTTTTGAAAATTCCTTCCTAGTAATTTGTCAACCAATGTGAACATGTTAACAGATGCCCAAACATGTGTAAATTAGCAAAAAGTTTTTATAACATATGTATTTTGAGATTTTTTTTTAAGAAAGTGCATATTTTGAAATTTTTTCCGGGGAGAGGGGATAGAAACGTAAAAGAAGCGGCCAAGGGGGTTAATGACAGAAATATTGTTTTTTTTTTAAATTTACCACGAATAAGGCCAGTTAAAAACTATTGACAAAGATATTGTGTTTTAGGGATAAGAATCGGCGGGGACACCTGAGACTCAGGCGCTGCCGCTTCAGCTTGGTTTTTGGACCGTTTTATTTAGTTGGCAGCGGCGGCGCTCAAGACTCAGGCGGTGGCGCCCGAGACTCAGGCGGTGGCGCCCGAGACTGAAGCGAGTAGGTGGGAAATCAAGACTCAGGCGGTGGCGCCCGAGACTGAGGCGAGTAGGTGGATTGGCCACCCACCCTATAAAACCCAGACTATTTCGTTTCAGATTCACGCCACAAAAAAAATCGTCCAATATAGAGGAGAGAGCTCTGGTTGCTGCTGCAAAAATGGCTAATAGGTAAGAGACACATTTATTTTTGTAATTATATTATTCAAATGCTATTATGATTGTGTTTAGTTTTTAATTAGTGAGTTTGTTTTTTTGTAGTGATTTTAGAAGATTTGAACTAGTTGTTCGGTGGAAATCGGAGAAAGTAGAGGATAATTTGGGCGTCAAATTCGTTGGTGGTAGTAGTTTTCAGTTGACGGTTCCATCCAGAGTCACATATCACAAACTTTGTGAGACTCTAATTCCGAGAATACGGCGCAGAGACGAAGCAGTAAAAGATAGTGATGTGATCACAGGTTTCACTTACCGTCTTCCAGAATGGCAGAATGATGTTTTATTTCATTATGCGTTACCTATTGTGGATGATGATAGCTTGGATGTGCTTTGGAATTTTATGGCACAAAATCCTTATTGTTTGGGTGCTGAGATACATGTTGAGCTCAGTGAGGATCAGGGTGGAGAGGAAGAAGATGATACATGGAGCGTGCCATCCGATCATGACTATGATCACGGTGATGACGGAGAGGAGGAAGATGAGGAGGAGGAGGAGGAGGAGGAGGAGGAGGAAGAAGAGCAGCTTAATTATCCTCCATATTTTTACTTGCAGGGTAATGAAGAGGACGAAGAATTTGCACTTGTTGATTCATATGGCGTAATTCCAATGCCTATTGTTGATAGTTTTGAAGGAGAATTCTACAAGGGGCAGATATTTCACTCGAAACAAGCTGCACAGATGGCGATTAAACACCACACACTACAACGCAACTTTCAATATGGCGTGGTGGAGTCGTCACCTTCAATATGGAAGGTCAGATGCTTGAGGCACAAGGATGACAATTGTCCTTGGATGTTGCGGTTTGGATGTCGAGATGTTGGGGGCGAATGGACTGTGAGAAAAGCTGAGTTGGTGCATTCTTGTAGCAGTACGACTCAACCGACGGATCATCGCCATCTTGATGTCGACATGATATCTGGTCAAACATTTGGTACGTGCCCAACCAAATCTGAGTGTTCTAACTATTCAAGCCGAGTTGAAAGATAAGTTTAACATGCAAGTTACTTACAAGAAGGCTTGGTATGGGAAACAAAGAGCATTGGAGAAGTTGCATGGAAATTGGGAAGAATCCTACGATTTTTTGCAAACATTCTTGCGGGTGGTCAAGAGAAAAATGCCAACATCGGTGATTGATTGGGTAAGAGTTCCTTCGGCTCAACCAGGTCATTCAATATTTCAGCGAGTATTCTGGGCTTATGGACCTTGTATAGATGGATTCAAGAATTGTCCAGGCGTCATGGTTGTGGATGGAACATTTCTTACTGGGAAGTATAAAGGAGTGCTACTCATGGCGAGCTCATTTGATGGCCGGAGGAAGATTTTTCCAATTGCATTTGCCATAGTGGAGAGCGAGAATACTGAGAGTTGGCCATGGTTCATGAGGAAAGTTCAGGGTTTGATTGATCGAAATGATGTATGCATCATCTCAGATAGACATGCAGGACTCTATGAAGCCATGAATAACATCGGAAGAGGTTGGGAGTGGAGGTGGTGCATGCGACACTATGCAAGCAATTTGCAAAGGAAGACTAAAAGCAAAATTATGTATAATCAACTATTTCGAGTCGGTAAGCTTTCTTCATTTAATTTTGTTATTTGTTTTCATGTAATTTTGTCATGAATTTATCTAACACGTGTTGTGGTTTATTTTGTTAGCCGGAGAAAAACGGTTGGAGAAGTTTGATCGTCAAGTTGAGCAATTTAAGAAGGTGGCCGCTGATAGAAATATTTCATGTGATAACTGGGTGGATCAACATCAGATTCGTTGGAGTTTAGCACATGATAACTACAATGGTGGGGGTCGTTGGTCTATCCTGACATCCAACATGGCAGAAAGCGTCAATGGTATTTTCAAAGGTATTCGTGCACTTCCTATAGCTTCTCTTGTGCAGCATACCTGACATCCAACGGGGTGCCAACGAGCGCAGTAATCAAACTAGCATCGGGGTTCATAGGGACTAGGGGCACGACACTTAACAAGCCTGCCGCTTCAAGATATGGCCGATAAAGCTCATGGTAAGGTACTAAAATGGTCGTACCTCGAACATGGTACGATCGATCACCAGCCTATAGTGCACAAAACTTTTATTAATTCATTTTCATTCATAATAATTCTAATTTCACCTAATAAATTCTAATCTGTCTTATCTAACATAAAATTATACTAATTTGAAATTATACTAATTTCACCTAACAGTTCAGTTCACTACCTAAAATAATCTAATTAGCTAATTAACTTTACATGAATAATTATCAAATACTTACCTCGTTTGTCCAAACAGAGTCGATACGATGTTGGCCATGTCCCCAAAGAAGTGTCGGATCGACCGGACTTGGATCAATTGTCGCCGGCGGTAATCTCATCGAATAAGGATCCATAAGCCTCGGAACTGCAAAAACAAAGCAACAAAACATTAAAAAAACACAAAACATTAAAAAAAAATCAAACTGCCGACGAGAGTCTCACCGCGCAAACGGCCGCCGACTCCACCACGACCTCGCCGACCTCTCCCTCTGCCTCTGCCGGCGGTGAGTGGTTCTTCGTCGGAGGACATCTCGGGCGGCGGCGATTCTGTCAAAGGCGGTGGCGCTTCTGTCAAAGGCGGCGGCGCCGAGGTCTGGGACGGCGGCGCTCGTGTCTGCGGCGGGGGCGCTGAGGTCTGGGGCGGCGGCGCCGAGGTCTGGGGCGGCGATAGCAGTTGCGGCGGGAGGCAGTGGGTCTCTGGTTCGCAGGGTTGGGGGGAGGAAGAAGAAAGGAGGAGGAGGATGTGTGTGGTGTGGGAGGGGATAAGGGGGGACCGTCCGAATTTAAAAAAAAAAAGGGTCTGGGGCACTCCCGCCTGAGTCTCGGGCGCCAGCGCCTAGGACTAATTAAAAAAATTTGTCTGAGGCGGGGCAGCTTGAGACTGGGGCGCCAGCGCTCAGGACTGAGTAAAATATCAGTCCCGCCTGAGTCTCAGGTGGTCCCGCCCCAATTCTTACTAAAAAATACAATATTTGTGTCAATAGTTTTTAATTTGTAATATTAGTAGTAAATTAAAAAAAAAACAATATTTGTGTCATTAATCGCGGCCAAGAAAGTGGGAGAAAGTAGGAAGGAAACCCTAGCAAGGCAGCAGCTACCGCTTTATCTTCTATTCTTCTCCAGTTCTCCTCCCCGAATTTTCAAATACAGAGCGACCCTACAATCCTTCCTAGGTCTGTTCTACAACTATCCCTTTCCCCTATAAGAACTAAACAAACCACTCCTTACCTACGCCAGAAATGGAGATCTGCACCTCTCAAACAGCCCTCTCTTCTCTCCCTAAGCTCCCCACTTCCACTGTAAACGCCGCTGGACTCCTGTCCTCCTCTTCTGCAGCCGCTCTTCCCTGCCTCCATTACTCTCGCTCCCTCAGCGCTTCCAGTACGGACTTCTATGCCTTTCTCCATCCTCCTTTCCCCTGCTCGTATCATTAGCTGAACATGAAGCTCAGGCTTTGATTTTATGCTTTTTTTTTTGTCTTATTTGTGTTCTGAATTTATTGGCTGGTTCTATAGTTGTTTTAATTGATATTGTCAATGGCGTTTCACTCATTCGTTTCCTTTTGTTTGCTCTATTTCAGGATCTCTGCGGTTTACAGCGAGAGCGTCGGAGGATTCGTCGACCGGGGCGAACACGCCTTATGTCGTTGGGGGAACTGGCGATTTTGGCGGGAGTAGTAGCGCGACGAAGGTAGCTGAAGAAAAAGCTCCGGCCGCCGTTAAACCTGAAGTTATTTATAATGAAAACGGGGCGCCGGAGAATGAAGGACCCGCTTTCACCGAGAGCTTAAATGAGTTTCTCTCTGATCTCAATCTCAAGGTTTGTTTATAGATCCAAAAGCACGGCCCTTTTCCGTTTTCCATGCTTGTAGATAAGCGTCTGACGCCGTTGCAATTCAGGGTTGGTTGTTTTTATCAACAATGGTGGTTCATTCCCTGATTCGGCATTTTTTCTCTATTTCATATTGGATCTGGCTTGAAAAAGTCTGGTTGCTATGATGAGCCATAAGGTAGTGGAGAGCATTTCCAGTGCTTGATGAAACATTCGACAAGCTGTCGAGCCTGAGCGGTTAGCTGAGCAAGTGGTTAACCTCTGTTTGAAACTTTTCTTGCTTGATATTTACAAAAAAAAAGTTGGCTTCCTTTTCCACTTGCTCTTATGGATTGGAAATGGCTTTCACTTGTGCATACTTGAGGACTGTGAAGATAAATATGGTTCGCTCGTCACAATGGTCAATTGGCCTTGATGATTCTCCGATTGTCAGAGTCCTGGTACTAGTACTAGTTTTTAAGTGTTCATCTTCTTGATTGACTGAATGTATGAAATTTAGATTCTTAGTTCAATTTGTTTTGTTTTTTGATTCTTTCTCTTGTCTGTTTCAAGTATACAAAGTGGATGATGTTCTAAGGCCCCTTCTTTCGCCAGAAAGGCTGCTGCTTGTATGAATGTAGTAATTTGTGCCATTGAATCTCGGTGTGATATTTCTTACATTGTGAACCTGCAGTTCGACTCAGAGGACACTGTTTCCCTTGTTATATATGGAAGTGGAGCCCTGCTCGCTTTGTGGTTGACATCAGCTGTTGTCAGCGCTGTTGATTCCATTCCATTGGTGAGCAAAGTTGTGTTATGACCGACAGCCATTTCTGTTCATCTTTGATTGAGTATTTGTTCTGATGATGGGTTCAAACTGTGGGTTCTATAATGTGCAGTTTCCCAAGCTGATGGAAGTTGTGGGACTTGGCTACACCTTCTGGTTCACAACCCGGTATTTGCTCTTCAAGGTAAAAACGTGCATACAATTTGATTCTTCAGAAATCACCTTCTTTTGTGTCGACCCTCAGTTTATATTCTGCTGCACTGCTGCGGGTTTGACCTTGTATGTTTTGGTGGTATACAGAAAAATAGGGAGGAGTTGGCTACCAAAGTTGAAGAGCTGAAGCAACAGGTACTCGGCACTAAAGATTGAACAAACCGCCTTCAGAATCGAGTTTTGGCTTATAGGTTCACATAAATAGCTTAGCTATCTGTAGGGATATATATATATATGTTTGTGAGGGTTTAATATTCATGTTAATAGTCAAAATAGAAATTTGTTAATAAAAAAAAAAAGAATTTGTTACTCTATCATGTTCAAACGGTGTGGTTACCATGATAACCGTTTTAACCAGTACTATTTGGATAATTTGGTTTGGTTAATTTGGATAATTGGTTTGGTTTGGTTAAAGTTTTTAGCTTGATTGGTTTAGGTGGTTTGGTTTGGTTTCAGACATTACTAACCAGCCAAATCAAATTAACCAGATAAATAATTAGTCATTTATCTAATATATACACATACTTATACTTTGAATAACCACTCAAGAGTTAAACGTTCATTCCTTTTAGACATAAAATATAAAGCTTGATATTGTTCCATAATGTATATTTGTATATGTATAGTGTAGACCACAACATATGAACGCCTAATTTAGATAAATCTCATACATGATGTTGGATGAAAACTTGAAAGCAAGGTCATTTTCAGCCTATGAAAATTGCTAAAAGACTAAGTCAATTCAAACAAACACAAAAATTCATTAACCCATACCATTGTGATACAATTTTGTTTGGTGAATACTTCTATACTAACCGTAAGATAATTGTCTTAGTTGCATGCATTTATGTTAAGGTCAACTATAACTATGTGATGATTGTTATGTTTTATTCATTATATAAATTGTGATTTGATAAATTAACCGAAATTTTCTCACTTAATGATAATGTGATTTTATATTGGTTAATCTGGTTAACCAATTAACCAAACCGATTAAACTTTAATTTGGTTGTTGTATTAGTTTGGACGGTTTGGTTATGATATTGTATTTCATGGTTAATGAAATTTAGCCTTATTTGATTTGGTTATAACCATTGTAACCATTTGAACACCCCTAATCATAGCAATTATAGCTAGTTTTGTTTACCCTCATTTTTAGGGGTGGGCAACGGGAAACGGGTATTTGGGTATACCCGTACCCGTCCCGTTTTTTAAGGGTTACGGGTACCCATATTACCCGTATTATTATAAACGGATGGGACTTGGGATTGTACATTCCTAATATGGGTACCCGCGGGTTACCCGCAAATACCCGTTTGGGTAATGTGGGTACCCGTTATACCCATTTACCAGAAATAGCCCACAGCCCAACACCCCAACCCAATTCTCTAATTCAGAAATGTGGCATTGGGCCTTGGCCATTTCAGCAGCATCACCATTCACCGGACGTTGTTATCTATTTAGGTATGCAGCTGCCATTCTCTTTTTCTTTTCTACTTACAGTACATATTTTGGACTCTAATTGCTAGTTAGGTTTGTTCTGCTAATTACTAATTATGTTTCTAATTTCCAGCATCTGTCTATTTGGTTTATGTTGATTTGGTTTATAGTTTCCATGGCTAATCAAGGGAATGAAGCCAGTTAAGGGAATGAAACTTTGGGTATTTATGGGTATTATGGGTACCCGTTATCCGTCCCGTACGGGTAATGGGTACCCGTTTCCCATATGGGTTTGGGACATGGGAAGGACTTTGGCCTCCAAATGGGACTGGGTACCCGTTTAAAACGGGACGGGTATCCCGTCCCGTCCCGTTTCCCACCCCTACTCATTTTTTACTTCGTTTGGCAATTGCAATGTAGTTAAAATCGCGCTTCAATGTTTGTAAAAGGCTCGAATGGACTGTTGCTCCTTCCTCATCAAATCTTTTGACATTCTGCCCCATGGTGGGCGTCAATTGTTTGTGTAAGGCTATTGAGTAGGAGACGTACATGAATAAGAAGGGGGCTCAAATGCTTAATGCAATGAAGAAGGGGTACAATGATGAAGGTGTACATGGACGAGGAGATGAGAGAATTGGAGGAGAGTGGAGACATATGGAATGTCTAGAGATAGAATGCAAAATCCTATCCTTCAAGTGGAGTAGATGCTGTATTTATAGTCTCCACTAGTTAGGTGAGCATTCAATGCGATAAGACGAGAGCGTCGAACAATACGTGGGCCCCTCAGGCCGATCCTTTCGCGGTGGGTCATGAGCGGCTGCTTGTGGCGCGGTAAGTAACCGCGCTTAATTCAATGCGATGAGACGAGAGCGACAGTACGCGGGCCCCTCAGTCCTATCCTTCGCGGTGGGTCATGAGCGGCTGCTTGTGGCGCGGTAAGTAATCGTGCAAGTGGGTGATTAAGCGCGGTGATAAAGCAGTTTACGTGTATGCGGCGGTCTTTCCCCCAACACAACCCTACTTGAAAATAATCAATGCAGTACTTAATGATTTTTTAGCGGTAAACACCTAGTGAGGTTTCATTGACAAATTGATGGTGAACTACATAGAATTTAAATTGTCTATGAATCAGAGAGATTGGACTGATGACAGGATACCCCCTACGTTGGCCATTTCAGTTTGCGGCCACGGAAGGCACGCTTTCCCTTCTTCCTTACCGCCAGACGCAATATTATTGTTTGAGATGGTGGCGGTGCGATTGAGTTGACGGAGAACGGGGAGAGGAAGACGCCATGGAGATTTCGTTCACTTCATTGTGAATGCATTTGCTATGGCGGCACTGGTCCTACTTTTCCTGCGCCGACGACGGTAGCAGCAGTACGACAATTGGAATGACACAAGGTGGCAGAAGAGGACGTCTAGGTCAGATTAGAAAATTTATTTTAGTTTTATTTTTCAATAGTTGTGAACATGAGATGAAAATTTTATTCATTTATTTTTTAAATGCTAGTTGCTACGCCACTTATTTAACGAACTACATTAGATAAATTTAACGGAGACTATCTAAACTTGAACTATTGAACTAATTTTAGTGACCATTAATGAAATAAAATATTTTTAATAACCAAAATCGAAACGATTAGTAAACTCAGTGACCAAACTTGCAATTTACCCATTAGCAAACATATGAAGCATAAAAAACTATATAGCCAACATCCGAACTTAAAAAAAAAAAAAAACAGAAGGTGCAATTTGTCACAACAAAATTTTGTCACTAGCATTAAACTTGAAACCTATATAAAGAATGCAACATGCAACCAGAGGACCCCATGGCAAAAATAACAAAGTTCTGATTCCAACGAATGAAAAAACCCAAACAAGTTCTACATAGGAATGTCTAACAAAACCCGTAACTCATGGTACCCTACTCGACACAACCCAGTTAACGCGGGTACAACTCATGCTGAGGGGTTGGGTTTTGTTTTAGGTATACCCACCTCATGGATACCTGCCCACACTCATATAATTATTTTTCTAGTATATTTAATATTCTAAGCAATATATATTTCTTAAGCAACTAATCTTCTTTATGTTTGTGGTGACATATCTAATTTATTCTCCTAATTGTGTAGAATGAAGTTGATATTATGGAGTGAATAGCCAAAAAGTTTAGTTGACAAGAAGGAATAAACTTTTAATTAATCATGTAGTTTATAGATATTTATCTTTTAATGTTGAACAATTTGTATGGATGTTTATCTTTAATATTGAACAATTTGTATGGATAATATGTGGTTTGCTTGGATGCTCTAGATTGCTATTTTTGGTACGTATAATTTTGTATGTAAAAAATTGATGTTAGACTTTTATTTTAACAAAAACTTATTATTGTGCATTTTTTACCACAAAACCCATGAGTATCCATGAACCCACTGATATCCAACGAGTTTGAATTTTCAAACCCAATGAGTTGTACCCTGAATTTTTTTGGTGGATATAATCAGAAGTTTGACAAAACCCAACCAAACCCGGCTCATTGCCATCCTTAGTTCTACATTCCCTATCCATCATCCAAAGATCTTTCTTTTCTTCGAGAAAAAAAAAAAAAACATTTATGACCTAAAGTTACCTAGTTGTTTCGTTTCCATGAAGAGAGAATTTGTTTTACTTGGGAAGCATAAATATAAATAAAAACTTTACGTTGCAGTTCGTATGGTCATCAGATCAGTAGAAAACTATGTGATTTGCGAAAAATGGTTTAGAAAGAATTTAGAGAAGGAGACGGTATCATGCAACGGTCTGGGCATGCATGGCATCCAGTAGGCATTCCACGGCTCCATGGTAGTTTAAGAACCCCATAAACCAAAATTCATGATTATCCACCGAGATCACCTGCACATATTTCTCTGCTGCATTTGCTCTGCTTGTCGAAGGGTTAACTGCCTTAAGCTGATGCAATGGGATGACCACCTGTTTTACAAAACCAATAACGACAGCGTGTTTAAGTATGCCAGTAGGGGAGCCACACGAAAGAAAAAGAAGAAGATAGATTAGCTTCAGACAGATACTTCTAACTCTTTCTATGCATCTCTAATCTAAGCTATCTATTATAGAGAAGGCCTTCATAGACACGAACCAACGTTTTCGCCACCTACTTTTAAATTGCATACAGATAGCGGTGAATTAAGTGGTTGGGTATCACAAAAATTAAGTTCCAGTGCAGAAGCAAGAAAGGTATAGATTCACAACACACAAGCAACACTGTAGGCACATGGAACTATTCTACTGGGCAGAAGATCAGGTGCATTTCACCTAGGAAGGCAGGTTTCCAACGGAGTACAAACATACCAAAAGATTGCTTGCTCATTACTGGATGACATAATAAATCCCACTTATGGATAGGTTGTTCCTAAGATACTTGCCAAATCAAGCGGCATAGTTCAAATAAACATCTAAGGTGACTATGGAGAATAATAACTAGGCTAGCAAGCCTCTTTGAGGGTCCTGATTTTTGAATGGTGTAGAGTTATTCAGGTGACAAGCACAGCATAGTCCAAGCAGGAAAGATTTGTTATCTTGTCGATTTGGTTGATATATTTCAGATACATCATAGTGCCAATATCCAACACCACTTTTAGAAAACATGTCATCTGAAATGAATTTTAAGCGCACTTTCTTATATACTTGTATATCTCTTCTCTCTCAGTAGGTCTATTCTCCTATTCATCCGAGGAAATACAGTTCAACATTTCTATAACTTCAGCGCCTGGTAACTATTTTATTTCTGCCTCCATACGAAATCAAATGCTTCTGACTGTGTTGATGGCAACCAAACTCAGAGGCAAGAATCATAATCATCAACACTCTTCCAATAGTGCAAGAGCAGCAAAAATGATAAAAGAAAAGATGGACAGGAAGAAGTGACATATATTTCTAACCACCACAGAATATCCACATAACAGAAGTACATTCATTACCAAAGAAGTTCATAATAAGAGTCGGTGGAAACTACATTATCAAAAAAAAAAAAAAAAAAAAAAGAGTCGGTGGAAACTAGGACCTACACACTGAAACTTATGATGCATTTAATTTAACATGACCAGAGAAAATCATACCTTATAGTAGCTCCATTCAGTTTTTCCATCTGCTTTATAAGACAGAGGACTGTCACTGGAGTACGCTAGCTTTGCTGTGGAGACATATAACACTCCCATAACTGGACCAGCTGATGTTGAGAGGTAACAAGCGAATGAATTTTGAAGCACCTCCTCTGGAACGGTCTCAAATGTTTGCCGGAAGACATTCTCATAACCTCCTTCTGCTAAGACCTTTGTTCCTTGGGCAAGCCTTCCTAGTGCAGCATCAGCAAAACTAGGGGACGTTTTCACTGATTTGACACAAGAAACACAAGATGAACACTTTCAAATTAGAATATAATATAGAACCACGGGGAGAAAGCTAGAAGCTTTATTAAAAGTGTGTAATCTATCTTTGAACTTCAGGAGTAAGTTGTTTAACAACAGTAAAGACTTTGCGATTCACAGACCAAACTTATGGTGTCATGCGTGACGCAATTTCCATGAAATTCACGGGGAGTTCCAGCGGAAACAGATTGAATGGAAGTTCTCTTCTTAAGATTTGAATTAAGATCTTGAAATTAATAAGAATAGGCAAGCTGATATAGGATGTGACATGCAAATGGGCCTCAGCACAGAAAAAACTCATGACATGCTGGTGCACTTGATCTGAAGGACAAAGTAGAAGTGGATTAGATAAAATGTGCATCATGTTGGGTTCTAGTTTAAAGCTTCGAAAGAAAGACCAACAATTCTACTCCTGTCCAGGAACCACCTGAGCATTACTTTTACAAACTAGTTATCCAAGTTACACCAATCCAGTAATTTGAAAGTTGTTCATACAAGACCAACAACATTAAAAGCTTCATTATTCTGCAACTCTTCATTGATATACATCAATTTCATCAGCTATTAACCATTTAAATAGAAATTCACATTAAACTGCCCTGGTACTTCTTTACACGACCACAAACTAAAATCAATGGTGAATATGTTAGTCACAACATTATATTTTTTCCACTTTGAGTTGGGCGGCTAAGATCTCTAATAATCAATGCCGAAGACACAGATTGACTGCTAAAGGATGTAACAACATGCTGGTGCTCTTGATCTGAAGGAAAAAGTAGAACTGGATTATACAACATCCACATCATGTTGCCCTATGGTTTAAAGCTTTGAAAGTAAGAACGATTCTACTACTTTCTAGGAACCACTTCGACTTCGAGCATTACTTTTACAAACTAGTTATCAACAGTAACCCATCAATACAGTAGTTTTCATACCACACCAACGACGTTAAAAGCTTCATTACTCCGCAACTGTCATTGGGACATAAATTTCATAAGCTTTTAACCATTTTCGTAGAAAATTCACATTCAACTGCCTCAGTTCTTTCTTCACCCTTCGACCACAAACTAACATCACAGGTGAATATGGTAGTTCCGAATTGGATAATCACAGCATTATCAGTTGTCACTTTGAGTTATGTACCTAACCTAAGATCTTCTTATCATCAATGCCAAAGACACAAATCACTGCTAAAGGATGTAACATTACATGAGACAATCGATCACCAGGGCCTCTTAATCCCAGAAGATTGAGCAGCTCAATAGGAATGAATCACAAGCAAAGCTCACTAACACCACGAAATGAAAGAAGACACTCACAGTGTTGCCATGTGTTGCCGGCAAGAGTCTCAGCTTTCTTGGTGGCTTCCCCGACTCTCCTTCCGAACCTCCCCAGGAATTCCCGCACATTTCCTACCCTCTCTGAGCAAGAGCAGATAAAAAAAGAGTTCATCAGCCGTAAAAGATCATCGCATAAAGAACAGAGGCGACATGAAGTTAGCTTGCCTTTGAGCGAGACAGAAGTAGAGGGTCCAGCGGGAGACGACGATATGTAAGGGTTAGATCCGTCAAGGTAAACGGGGTTACCATCGCCTCCATTTGAAGCCCGAGAATCAGTCACCAAGTCAGGACTCCAATGAACCGATTTCCTCCCCGATCCACCCCGGAAAGACCCTTGCATTTGTTCCAACTGAGCTTCCTCGGAAGACTGCGGATTCTCCGATCCCAGCTTGGCATCGCCATTTTTGTTAGCTGAGTCTCCATTCGGGTCCTCATGACAATTCTCCTCGATTGTGGAGTCAACGTTGGGGCTCGGATCGGGCAGCGAAGAGGAATCCGCGTTCTTTTGCTGTGCCTCCGTCTTCGGCAATCGCTGGTCCATCTTACGCAAAACGGAGCAGTCGGTGGCGCGTGCGACTATAAGGAATTTTATGTTTTTTTTGGTAGATAATTTTATGTTTTTTTTTTTTACTTTTTTCTTTCTCGTTGAATGTTCGTTTTCTTCTCTCTCCGAACTTAGGTGAGTGTAGGGATGACAATGAATCGGGTTGGGTCGGGTTTTGTCAAATCCAAAGTCAAATTCATCCTAGTTAGTCTACCGTTAATCTACCTGACGGAGTTTCTAACACCGTTAAAGTTTATAGTGAAAATGGCCATTTTGTCACGAAACTTTCGAAATTCTGACTATATTTGGAATTTCTCCAAAAGTAGCTATGATTGTCACCAATGTAGTCAAAATCGCGGTTTAAAACTTAAAAACTTATGATTTTACGTTTTTATGTCACTAAAACGCTTCTACGCAAAATCTTCATTTTTTATAGCTTATGTAGTTAAAAAATTGTTTTAAAATTTTAAAACTTACGATATTACACTTCTAGACCACCAAAACGTTTTTAAGTAGAACTCGTTTTTAACTACATTGATTATCAAAAAAGTAAAAGTTATGACTATACAAATGTATTTTTTCATTAATTTTCAATAAATTACATTTTGAGAAAATATTAATACACACTATTTGAATTTTTCTCTCTAAGAAGCATGGTTAGTCAACTCGGTGGCTAACCCGTCGGTCAACCCACTTCAGGCCAGACCCAATGCTCTAAACAGGCGACATAGACCCAATTAGCAGTTGGCTTGAATCGGTCAAACCCATGTAAATTCGGTCAAGCTTAGAGAAACCCAGATAAACTCGACATCGCCATCAAGAACTCTGCTCCGAAGCAGGGGAGGAGATTTGGAACGAGACCAGATTCTAGAGGAGCCCGTCGCAAAACGAGGCTCCCACCGTTGTCGGCATCTCCATTTCTTTGTTATAATAAACAAATCAAATGAAGGGATTAACAGAGAAATATTACGGAGGTTGGAGAGAGAGAGAGAGAGAAAGAGTGCGCGTGGAATCGTGATGTTGAACAAGGAGATTCAACCAAATATAGAAGAGATCTGCTAGAAGAGAGAGATTGTAGGGGCTTGAAGAACAGACAAGGGGTGGCAGTTCGGTTACCGGTTAACCGGCCAGTTATCCACTAACCGGTAACCAAAGTAACCGAATTTCGGTCGGTTATCGGAGGCTAGACGAAATGGTTTTTGGTCTTAAAAGTGGGTCGGTTAATCGATAATCGAGACAACCGAGAAACCGAAGCCTATTTCGGGCGGTTTTGGGAGTGATTATTTCGATTAACCGATAACCGACCGATCGATTATCTGTTATAACCGAAATAACCGAAATGCCACCCCTACAGACAACTATGGCAGATCGAATTGAATGGTTGAGTGGTTGCATTCTAGTTGCGAGAAACACAACGCATGTGGGAGAGAGGAAGAGAAATGGTATTATATTAAACGGAGTGTACTTTTACGTAATGTTACCGTAAATTATATTTTTAGTCCCTAAAGTATTGAATAATTAAGTTATATACCTATGTCTTTTAAAATATGTAGAAACTGCCTAATTAGTTTGACCCTCGATCTAACCAGTAACCTGCATCTCAGTTGCTTGACTAGGCCAATGGTTGGATCCGCGTAAACAACCTTACTCACAAGCCCCCCTCTCTCCCTCTCTCACTTCAACAATTCTCCGTCCTCTCTACCTTTTTCTTCTTTTGTCTTCGTTCAGACGAACCAATACCTGTATACCACTACAAATTATAAGAGTTCAATACCAAATCATAAAAACATTAATACTTCAAAAACACCAATACCATTTCAGAAGAACCAATATAAGTTCGACGCTAACCAATACCAATTCATACACACCAATACTAGATAAACCAATACCAGTTCAACACAAACCAATACCATAATTGAAGGCAACAGAGAGCTCCAACGCTTTCAACATCTTGAAGGAAAAGCTCACCAATGCTCATGTTATGGTCTCACCGAATTGGAACCTCCCGTTCGAACTTAGTGTGATGCAAGGGTTAATGCAATGGGAGCAGTGTTGGGGCAACAGAGAGGCAAGTAATTTCAACATATATGCTACGCCTCTAAGATGTTGAACGAAGTTCACGAGAACTATACCACCACCGAGAAAGAGTTATTGGCAGTTGCCTTTGCTTTTGACAAGTTTTGGTCCTACCTTGAGTTTTGTTGCAAGAATTCAATATTGAGATTCCATGCATGGTGAGATCAATGAATCATTTTCCGATGAGAGGCTGTTTGTGCTGGCCGTGGTGGAAAGCTCAACACTTGGTTTGCTGACTTTGTTAACTATGAGCTCTCATGAAAAGAGAAAGTTTTTCTTCGATCTTCGGTACTATTTCTGTGATGATCCCCACCTATTATGAGTGGGGGCCGATGGGGTCATTTGACATTGTGTTCCCGAAGGAGAAATG